AGGAATATGGCGGATGATAGTACAAACTGCTGCGACTTACATCATCGAAAGCAGTCTTTTTAGCATTGTTCAATTTAGTCAGTAACCTTTCCAAAAAAAATAGCAAAAATGCCTTGGGATTCTGTTGAAGTGGGACTAGCAGGTGGTGAAGAAACAGTTAATTTTGGACCAAGAAATGAAACTGGCTCGTCGTTATATCAAGTTGATACTTTGGCTAGCGTGTCAGCCAGAGGAGAGGTAAACAGTTCAGCATATGCACTGAAAAATCTGTAATTTACTAATCTATTAATACTGAAAGCAACTTAGTTTGGGGTTCTTCTGCCCCAGGAAACAAGAATGAAAAAAAATTGAGCCATCTTGTTGCAGTACACTAGTTATTAGCCAATGACTTCAGTCAGGAGTCCCCAATTAGCTAATCTACAGCAAAAACATTGGCACGTTAATAAACTTTGAATTCATTCATTCCTCTATGCAGTTTGTCTTTCATTTCGTTACGCGCGAAATTTTTTAAAAATTTTATGACTAGTAATGATTCCAATTTGACATGAATATCTTTCCTGATTGTACGGCAAAATCAGATAATATTAGTTTTTCCAAAAGAAAGTTCAAAGATCTTAGGTTAAGATTTATTTTCTGTTTAGTTAAAACAATCTCCTTGAAATGGCCTGTAGATGGAAATTAGTGGAATGACCAGCGATTTGGGTATTTTAGGTACATATGTACCTAGCTAGGTTGTTTTCTTTCAGGTTTACGATAAATTCGTATCACAATACACAGCAAATTATGTCGCATTTCTTGAATTCAAGTTATTTCGTATAAAGACATGAGTCAACAACTTTGAAATTCATATATTTGGTATGAACTTTTTTGCTACTTATGGTATTTTGGTACCTCATGAGGAAAAAAATTTAGGACAGTGTCCTACCCCTCCCTCCCTGTTCTCCCCCCCCCCCCCCTCCTCCTTGTTGGGGCTGAATTTTGTGATGAACAGGGCAAGACAAACACTTTTTTGGGACTAAAACCACAACAAAAAATTGAGGAATACATTTTCGTAACCTAAATCACATATTGTATTGATGAAGAAGTTACTTTCAAACTCAGAAAATAATGAACACCTGAAATACTTTATGTCCAGGGAACTACAAAACCACAAACTAATTTTCCCCTTTGCAATTGGCATCATTATGCAAATTCTCCATACCGTTCTCAAAGCATTTTCCAAGGTGCTGACAAGGAGAATTTGTTTAACAATCAAGAGTCTCTTTAGTTGGTGATCACTGCCTTTATTCTCATGACCTTAATGTTTGATTCAGAGATGATATTGTAAGGAGAAACTGGATGCTAGTCACTCTTACAGGACTAATTGGTGTATTTTCCTTGACACAATCATGTTCTAGAAATACTTGTGCTGATCATGGTTTTCTGAGTTTCTGCAAAAAGGATCCAAGTAGAATAACTGTAAAGAGAATTATTTTAATGGTAATCAATTGTTTAACAGATACAGAGTTGTCCTCACATCTGTGGTGCTTCCTGTCCTGAGGGATTTTGTTTCGTTGCTTCATCTCAAGTGATCATGTTTGATGCAAGTTGCAATGATATTCTTGCAACATTCAATTTTGGTAAGAAACTTTGTTCTTTTAACACATTGATTTGAATTGGATTGGTTTGTTTATTTCAGTTTTGTGCATTGTTTGATGAATGTTTATTTATTGGTTATTACAGAAGAATTTTTCAAACCCTTGCAGGGGTTTCAATAACTACAGTATTTCCATAAGTGGCTGTCAATAGTATAACAGGTAGCTGTACCCAGAAAGGGGCCTTAATCCTTTAGCCCCTACGAGTGACTAGCATCTAATTTCTCCTTACTATATGACCCCTGAATCAAACATGAAAGTCATGAGAATAGAAGAGATGATCACCAACTGAAGCAGCTCTTGATTGTTGAACACTCCTAGTTGGCCTCTTTGGAAATGTATAAAGAACAGTATAGAGAATATGTATGATAACATTGAGGTGTAAGGGGCTAAGACCTAGACCCAAACAGGACAGCCTGCTTGCAAACTAAACTGAGTGTAGCTAGAGGTCTTATAGGCAGCCTAGAGAGCTAATAACTGGCTTTTGATAAAACTGCTGCCTTTGTCTCATCTTTTGATTGCCTTTTTTTGTTTTACAGAATGTGAGATTGATTGCATAGCATGGAGTGAAGATTCCTTGTTTCTTGCCATTGGTGAAAGGTATATTTACTTGATTCAAAGGACATACAGTTAGTTTTTGCCATATGCCAATTAAGGTGTGCTGCATAAATGAATTTCCCTTTGCCAAGGTTTATGATTGGGGATTGGGAAGCAAAACCCAATGGTTTGAATCTTGTGTGGTAAAGATTCATTTGAGTAAATGCTTGTAAATACCATTGTTACATGTACCTGTTGATGTCATTATCTCTATTTAGATCAGCTGCAAGCATGCAGCTGATTCTCAGTGACAGCAGTTTTGCATTGTCAGTGACTGTAGCATCATTCCAACAGGCATTAGTCTTTACACCCATTGAAGGTCACACTTCTTACATCTCATGTTGATGTTCTTCCCTGCTTAAGGAATAAGTGGAAAGTGTTTTAGTGCTAACTTTTCAATCTTAATTAGGTCAGGGACTTTCCACTTTGTTCATTCAGCATCAAGGCAAGTACTGTTTTCTCAGGTAGGATAAAAACTGTTTTTTAGGTATTTGAATCCACTGTTGCAAGAGCAGTACTGAAATATAAAAATAAAATCCTTGTTGCTATGATTTCTTCTCATGACAACAAACAGTGATTTTGGTTATTCATTTCATCAGCTTCCTGTGATCATTAGGTTTGGAAGAGGTTCAAAACTTTAAGGCTCAAACTCTATGCTTGAAAAAGCTCTGCAAATCTGATCATGTTATTTAATTATTTTGCATACTTCAGATAAAACTCGGGTAATAATCATAGGTTGCCATATAAACAAGGTTCAGAAATAAGAGGACAACCTCAGCCTCTTTGGAACTGTAGGGGTATGAAAACTGTGTAATGATCAAATAACAATGATAAAGTACTTGCTTTAATATAGGCACAGGTATGGGATCAGGCTGCAAGCACATTTTGTAACTTTTGAATCAGATGGATTTTTAAGATTTGATCTTTGTTGCCTTCTTGGTTGCATCTCAGTTAACAACTGAAGTTTCCCAGAGGTGCTCCTTGATTTAGATTTATCAGTTTTAATTAACTTTCAAAGGACATTAAAATACAAAGTGAAATTTTGCTTTTGTTCTTTAGAAGAAATTTTTGTCATTAGTTACATGTTGTACAGCAGGAATTTGATGCTTCACTATCCTGTTTATAATTTTTTTCTCAGGAGCTTGAATCTGATGGGAATTTAAAATGCAGTGAAGAGTGTACCTTTCTTTCTATGTTGTTTACAACTCCTAAATGTGAAGGTATGATTGTAACTTAATGATAAAAGTATTGATAGTAATAATAACTATGATAGTGATGATTATGAGAAGTTAACAGTGAACATTCCATGAGAGAAGTGATGCCAGGGTCATCCGATAGTTCCTTTTACATTAAGCAGGAAATTGGTTTGGTAACCTAAGCAGATTAGCATTCCCACATAGGGACATGGAGTTCGGCAATAGTGAGTCTTAGTATTCCAATGAAATGGAAACAAGCTCTTCTTTTGTAAGCCACTTGCCTGGACTTCAGGCTTGAGCTCAACATGAATTTGTTTCAAAATCCTTTAGCAAAAAGGTTTCATATTTGACAAATAGATTCCATGATACTGTGTGTCTGTTCAATATTAGATCATAGATGACATCAAAATGTAAATTAGCTTATCATGTATTCTATAATGTTATGTATCCTTGAATGATGTTGAGTTGTAAGCCTTAAAGAGTGTTTTAGAAGTAATCTGACTTGTAAATTTTGTCTGTTTTCTCAAGCAAGCCATAACAACCAAAGCAGATATTAAAATTTGGAAAAAGCTTGGCTCATGTAAGGCTTATCATTAAATTCACCTTTTTTTCTTTCTGTTGTGAACAGGAGGATGTAAGCTTGTCATTTTGTCTGCTTCTGGCATGATCACTCAGTTCTCTAACCTTTATCTGCAGAAATTGAATGACGGTATGTGTCCATAAACATCCCCTGTTGGCATTAATTTTGATTTCTAGTTTCATGTCTTCTGGAGTTTTATCAAAAGCAGTAAATAATATATGTAATTTGGAAATCAATTTGGTAATCAGATGGACAGTGTGAATTCACCATAACACATGCCTAGTTATTGATTACTGTTTAAAATAAAGAGGTTGCTGCATTTTACAATATTTTGTTATCTTCTCTGTAAAAGGGAATTAATAAAAATCTCTGTTCAGTCACTAACACATATGATCTTGATCAATAGCTATTAATGGAGGGCAGTTTGAAGTTGTTACTGAAGTAAGTGAGTTTGGTTTAGTGTTATACAATTGTACATTATACTCCTTCCACTTTTACTTAGTATACATGAGTGTTTTGCCAGCTTTGCAGGGGGAGGGGGGGCTTATTAGAGAGGAGGCACTTTATGGAGGTAGGGCTCCAGATTGAATCTTTTTGGTATCTTAGTCCTGATTAGTCAGTGACAAAAGCATTCATAGGTTGTGGAGTGCAATTCAGCCTTTCTGTATTCTACTTCATGGAATATGAAGCTTTTTAATGATGAGTGATTAATGCCACTATAAATTCCAAAATATTCCATTTGAGTTGTTTCATTGATTTAACTTAATTTAACTTTGTCTGTCAGTCACAGTTATTCTGGATATAAAATGGCCATTGTAGTGTAAAGAAAGCACATACATTTTCCATCCTGTTAAAAAGTGTTTTGAGAAATGAGCAACTGGGACATACATGGAAGAGTGAGAGAGTGGTTTTGTAGCAAATACTATAAATAAATAGCATGAAGTGTTTGTGTATATTGTGATTTACTGTCGCTCATCATGTTTTGAAAGGTTTTAACATTTCACTTGCCCATGGCTCTTTCAATTGCAAAAACTTTCAAAACATTACATGTGCCAGAGAATCATGAAATGCAGTCATGTTTCGGTATTCTCCTCTACACATTCCTTGTTTTATAGTACTTATAGTCCAGCGGTTATTCATCATTTGCAACTGGCTAAACTGTTCAAATGCAACCTCCAACTTTATATCAACTCAAGTCTAACCTTACCCCTTTAATGCCCACCCCTCCCTCCCTTCCCCCCCTCTCCCCATGTTCAACCTTGCTCCCCACACTCCTAAGATAAAGGTACATTTTATTCAAAAGTCAAGAAGGGATTCCAAAAAGAGGTCTGGAAAAGGCACTACATAGCACCCCCTTCAACTCAAAAGGTTTGACTTTCTATTATAATTGCGCGATACACCAGTCATAGTCACCAATTGTAGGGTCAGTGACTCACCATGCACTAAATTTGAGGGGGGTGGAGTGCTTTTGGAAGTATAAATATGTTTGGTTTCAGGCACCTTTTATCAATATCTCCAGAACTGCTCAACCAAATGTTGTAAAATTTAGGGGAGGCAGGGTAACTTTTGTAGTTACTTCATGTGGGATGCCTGACTGAACTTAATATTCTAACTTCATGACTTGGTAGATGACCCTCTTTTGACTTGTTCCTCATCTTTAATGGAGTTCTCCTTGTCATAGAGATCGAAACAACATCCATGCAATTGTAATTATTATTCCCAAGTGGGACAGTCAGACCTTAAAGTGATTCTTGTCAAGCTCTCCAACAGTTTCTAAATGTACCTTCCCCCTCCTCTGCACAATTGCCATGATACCATCTAATTAATGCAGTTGAAAGTTAAGCAGTATTTTGTAAATGAAGTCTTGGTAGAACTTCAACTTCTTCTTCAAAGGCACCTTATGGCATGCTCTTTGGTGTCTTTCTTAGAGACCTGTTAAGGAATGGTAAACAGTCATCTCTTAATCTTGACTCTTGACACCACAAGCAGTCAAGCGAGTTAATTCCTGTCTGTGCTCAGTGTTTAATGTTTCTCATTCCCAAATTTCACCATATCCTTTATTGACAAAAGTGCAAATGTTTAGATGTTCATCTTTGGTAGGCTCCCAAAATCCAACTTCATCAGTATGCATTTCATTTCTTACAAATGATTTCAACTCTTCCAATCCACAGTTTCAGAATTAAGGAGGCCCAAATCATGTGGCATAACTGCTCCTGTAAGAAGGTGGTTTAACAGCCTCCTGACTTCCTTCCTGATTTTTTGTATGGTGAGCAGTAGAACAATCTTCCCTTTTCAAGATTGAAAATTGGTTAAGAGGAATCACTTTCCCCTTCACTTTGAAAATCATTTATCCAATTTGTGTTCAAAAATGGCATTTTTGAGTGAGCTAGCCATTGTCTCAAGCTCAAGCCAACAATGCCTATTGTGGAAACTCACTTGTAAGAGTATTCACAATTACTGCAAATTTCAGAACTACTCTGTGTATCAGCTGTCAGACCTTTCCTCACCTACCAAATCACCCATCACCCATGACGGCCTGAGTAACCAATACAACTATTGGCTATCCAGAGTTCCATCAGAGCTCATTGACTTCCTGATCAAAATACAAACTTCTTGGGATCAAGGGCTCTTATTAGAGCTCATTGACTCTGATCAACACACAATTTCTTGTGATCAGGAGCTCTTATCAGAGCTCATTGACTCCCTAATTGACACACAAACTTCTTGTGATCAGGAGCTCTCATCAGAACTCATTGACTCCTTGATCATCCCACAACTTCTTGTGATCAGGAGCTCTCATCAGAGTTCATTGACGCCCCTCTTGACACACAAACTATATAAAATCAGGAGCTTTTATTAGAGTTCATTGACTCCCACATTGAGGTACAAACTTCTTGGTATCAAGAGCTCACATCAGAGTTCACTGATTCCCTAATCAACGTAGAAATTTCTTGCAATTGGGCTGTTAACAGAGCTCATAGACTCCTTGATCGACCAACAAACTTTATAAAATCAGGAGCTTTTATCAGAGCTTATTGACTCCCTAATCAAAATACAAACTTCTTGGGATCAGAGTTCTCTTACTCCCCAATCAACTTGCACATTTCTTACTATTGAAAGCTCACATCAGAGCTCATTGACTTCCCAATCAACTTACACATTTATGATTGGGAGCTCGCATCAGAGCTTATTAAGTCCCCAATCAACTTACACAGTTCTTGCCATCGGGAGCTCTTATCAGAGCTTATTGATTTCCTAGTCAACTTACATATTTCTTGTGATAGGGAGCTCTCACTAGAGCTCATTGACTCCCCAGTCAACTTACATAATTTTTGTGATTGGGAGCTCTCATCAGAGCTCATTGACTTCCCAATCAACTTACATATTTCTTGTGATTGAGAGCTCTCATCAGAGCTCATTGACTCCCCAATCAATTCACATGTTTCTTACTATTGGGAGCTCTCATCAGAGCTCATTGACTCCCCAATCAACTTACACATTTCTTGCAATTGGGAGCTCACATCAGAGCTCATTGACTTCCTTGTCATCTTACACATTTCTTGCAATTGGGAGCTCTCATCAGAGCTCATTGACTTCCCAATCAACTTACACATTTCTTGTGATTGGGAGCTGTCATCAGAGCTCAAAACAAATATTTTGTGATTTCAAGCCCTTGTTAGAGCTCACTGACTCCCTGATCAACTCTCAAACCTCTAAAAGCCCAACTGACTCACAAACCTCTCAAAGCTGGGAGGTCTTATTAGAGTTCATTGACACCCCAATCCACAGTCAAACTTATTACAATTGGGAGCTCCTATCAAAGCTCTTTGACTCCCAAATCAACACTCACACTTCTTGCAGTTGGGAGCCCTTATTAGAGTATGTTTACTCCCCTATTGACACACAAAGTTTGTATAATTGAGAACTCTTATCAGAGCTCATTGACCCCCCAATGGACATACAAATCTTTTGCAATTGCAAGCTTTTTTCAGAGCTCATTGACTCTCCAATCAACACACAAATGTCACACAATTGGAAGCTCTATCAGAGCCTACTGACTCCCTGATTGACACACACAGTAGTGATGATGACCTGTTGACTAGGAGATTGTTGATGCATGTCTCTAGAGCAGTGCAAGGTTGTTTGAGTGAACAGCATCTGCCATTTATCCTTTCCAGCAATATTTTATTACCTTATTGGTACTTAATTTCGCGGGTCTTTAATTTCGCGTTTTTCGCGATTGTAAAAAAATCGCGAAATTAAAGACCCGCGAAAAAAAATCCTCGCGAAATTTAAACACGCGAAATTTAATACCCATACAAAAAAATCAAACTGTAGAAAAAAATGATTTATTGGTAATGGCAACAAAATTTACAGGATATTTATCAACAAAACGCAAAATATTAACTGGTTTCTACTCGTAAATTCCATTATGAACGTTGCCGCGAACCACTGAAACAATGCGTTTTCACGTTGTAATACATATTAATTTTCAAATATGTGTTTTGTTGTGTTCCAGTTATCTAGAAACTTTAAACAGTTCAGACCTTTGGAAAAATAAAATAAAGTTGAGAACGCTTCAATCGCGAAATTTAATGCCCTTTTTTCATATTTGCCTATTGAAATCGCGTAAATAAAACCCCGCGAAATATTGCCTCGCCAAAATCGCGAAATTAAGTACCCGCGAAATTAAGTACCCGCGAAATTAAGTACCAATAAGGTATATTACAATTTTTTTTCTGAGCAACCATTGCCATGATAACGGTTTTACCAACCAAAAATGTCCTACATCAAATAACTGCCAAAGTTACCTTATCCTTCCAAAGTTTATTTTGTTTAGTTGAGTAGTTTTGGAGATATTGCTAAAATGTAATTGCACACAGAAATATTGGTACTTCCAAAAGCACTTCACCCCTCTCTCTCTCTTTCTCTCCCCCCCCCCTCCCCCCATAGCAAATCATAATCCAATGTCAAAGCTTTTAGGGGTGTTGTCATGTCAACTTTTTCTGGTTTCTCCTCCTCTACTAAAATATGAGACACTTTTTTAGCTGAGAGGATTGCTACAAGTTGAATCCGTTGATGCTGGTGTTGTTCATCAAGAGAAGATTTCAGGCATTACTGTTGGACAGCTCTGGGATTCTCCTGTCTACATTACTTATGTAAGATACTGTTATTACAACATTGCAACTCAAAATCTACAAAATTAAATCCAAAGGTAAAAGAGCTCCACCTTTTGCCAGATTATGGTATGGTTTTGCTATGTAAACTTGAGGATATTCTCAGTTTCTATTGCATTTACAGAATTTTACTATATCTTAGTTTGAGTAGAAGTACATGATTGTTCTAACTGAACTGCACTTGTTCAAATGCCTTTGCAACAGACCAAGCTATCATTTCTAGCATAGTGTTTTTCTTCTAACACGTTTTCAACCAATTAAGGCTTTTACTGGTGCTTGTAAGCAGTTAATACATTGACTTATAGTTGTTCTAACTGAGCCCACATGAAACTGTACTTGTTCAAATGCCTTTGTACCAGGCCAGGCTACCACTTAAGCAATCTAGAGCTTGTAAGCAGTTGATACTTTAGGTTCTACATTTATATGTAGGGTGAGGGTGATGCAGCCATTGCAGTCTGGGCCAGCTGCAGAGAGGATGGAATTTATCTCATGGATTCAATCAGCTCATACATTCTTGGGGGTATGTATACTCAAGCTTTCCAAAATTCTTTGTCAGGCCTCTGAATAGTTTTTACAGGACGAGGGATGCATCTGCTTACAATAAAAAACTCCTTAATGGAAGACGTCATTGTTTAACTCCACAAGTTTTCAATACAACCGAACAGCTGTTACTCAAAAAATGATTGAATTCAAAACTGTTCCTTGTTTTGATTACGTAATCCAAATTAAGTCTTTTCTTTCTTTGCATCACACCTCCATGACCAGAGTTTCTGGGCATGCCAAGCTTTTTCCTGTCATAAATTCATTCATGGACATTTGTCTTTCCAAGCTTGACATTGGTCTGGCATTTAACTAAACACGACATGCTTTACAGCAGGCTGTAAATGTATATCAAATGAGAAATAGTGTATACTCCAAATACAATGTATGTTTACTGCTGGGTGTTTGGTAGATTTTAAGTCTGTATTCTAGTTGCTTACAAAGATTCCAATCTGATGTGTAAATTATCTGTTGAAAGTAATTTAATTACACCATAGTGTCTGGAATAAAGCAGTTTCTAGAAAGTTCACTGACCCAACAATGCAACTTTTAAATGTAAAGAGATAGATTAGTGATATAGCCTTCTGTGCTGCTATACACAGGATCTTGTGTTGTTAAAGCAAACATGTCAAGTGATGGTCACTTTCTTGTTGTTCTGGATGACAAGGTAAATGTATAGTGCCTGTTATAATGATCATCATACCACTCTGGGAAAATTTAATAGCTGGCTCCTGCCTAACCAAGAGATATTTTCAAATGTCTGTATACTTAAATAATTAAGCCCTAACTGGAAATCATTTCGAGAAAAGAAAACATGACTTGTTTAGCACATCTGTTCCCACATCTGAACAAAGGGGGTAAAAGAGAAACTGTGGTGCTATATTGGTGGGAGAGTCTAACAGGGTAATTTAGAATTATTAACTGAGTTGATAATGTAAATTGGCCCCCTCAAGCATTAGCCCTTCATCAGAGTGATATACAAAGAGCTAACCTTCAAAACTACAGCTTTAAAACTCTCTACAGTGTCCAATTTATGTTATCAATTTAGTTGATAATACTAAATTACCCTGTTGTACCCACCTCTGCAGACTAGATCATCTGTGTGCTGAGACATCAGCCTTAATTTTTGCAATTGTGCATACAGGCACAATAAACATGTGCATGCAGTTTTCCTTCACTTCAAAAATTTAATGATTAGTGGCTTCAAACAAACTGGAATGGATCGTAGCCACAAACCCATCAAATGCCTGGCCTGTCACCTTCACTGGATCTGGTTTTAAGTCTGTTGATTGTCTGTAGTCTTATTCCTGGCTAATCCTTCTGGAGCATGCTTTCTTTTCTTTACTTGGAAGAATTGATCTTATTGCAATCTTAGGGCTGGCATTAAGGAAAGCTAAACATGCAGTCTATGAAAATTGTATTTTCTGGATTGTTTGGTTTGATTTCCAAAACAGTGCGCTTGCACTGTCTGTAAATGTTGCATTTGTTTGAAGCAAATTTAATACTGCCTAACCCATAAGCCCAAACAATCTATTGATTCTTATTGCCTGGGGCAGCAAAGAGTTACCATGATTTTGAGTTACTTGTAATATGAATTCATGACATAAAAGTCATACATTTTGTAAGGATTTGTAATCTTACATGCATTGTTCATGTCTCTGTATCTTCTTTTTTTCTCCAGAATATGCTGAGCTTGTGGAATGTTTCATCTTTGACAATGATTGCATTCTGGCCTCATCTAAGCATAGATGACTTTCTATTATTGAGTTCCAGTAATATTCAAACTCCTGGGATGTCCAAGTATGTGCTGTTTTGATATCAGATCAAGTCTTCCTTCACTTAAATCATTGAGCTCCTCATATTATTTATTAGGTTAGGATATATGTATCAGACTGGATAATGTTTCTGATGCATGAAGTGTAACAAGTCACTTCTGGATAATTGCATTAAAGATAATTTTCTTCTAGATTTTCTTAAGATCAAGTAGAGTACAGTAGAGACAGCTTTGCCCACAAAGTGGATTTCTAGTTAGATAAAGAACCTCTTAACTTAACCAGACTCTGAGCAAATTTTCCATTGAGGTTGATGAGTATTAGTCACATTTATCATCAGTAGTCTGCAATAGTCTGGTTAAAGGTACTGATAAACTTCATTCACAGAAAACAAAAGATTCACTTGTTCCATTGTAGCAAACTTTGTTTGGTTTCTGTGGGGTGTAGTTCATACCTGAATAGTAACAGTTATTCATTCATACATACTGCATACCTCTGTACCAAGTGATTGTTGTTTAACACAGCTTTTGGGAACTGAGAACTACATTCATTTGGCAGAAGTGAGTTTGATCTCTATAAACTTGTGAACCAGAAGCTATCATTCTTTTCATATTTGCAGAAGTGATGATGAATACAAGCTTGTTGTGCTCACAACAGCAGAAAATCAGGTACTATTATGATTTCTTCCTAGGTCTTCCAGCTGTATCGGAATAACTGTAAGTATTGTGTCATAGTAAGGTTGGTAGTTGATGGGAAAGCATCAGATAAATGCAATTTTGTGCAAAAGCTATCTGTTTGTGGTGAGACAACATGACAGGAAATTAAAAACAGAGGAAATAAATTAAGACTTGATTTGGAAAGAACAGGCGTCAGAGTAATTGCTGGTGCAAAAGCCTTTTTGCAACTATAGCTTCCTTATTACCATCTATTTGGTAATGCTCCAGCAAGGTACTAGACTTAGAAATGCTTAGGTGCATTTCTAGAAGGTAAATGAAATGACCCCTCTTTCTCATTGAACAGTAACCTAATTATTTACATATACTACATTTGTCAATTTTGCTTTACAGATGCGCTATCTTCAAGTATATACTTTTCCTACCATGAAGTCAGTGTATTCTCTGCAAGTTTCTGCATGCTCCCTATTAGCACAGTGTCCAACCAATCAGGTTTGAAATAGTTATATCTTTTTTCATGGTACTTTCTCAGGTGTTAAAGTGTTCAAGTTTATTTGCTTTTAGTGAAGACCCAAAAGACTGTTACAGCATATCTTATGTTTTTGATAAAATAAATTTGTTATCAAACAAAATCTTACATTGTACTGCATTGTTGTTTGCAGGAGTCAATCTTTTTCATTGAGGGTATCTACCAAAACCCACATGAAAGGTAATCTGTTTTGAAAGGGGCTTTTGATTATCGAAGTCATGTAGCTTCATGTTTAACGAAAATCTCCTAAATGCGACTAAACTGGAAAAAACACAAGCGATAACGAAAATCTACTAAATGCTACTAAAACTGCGACTAAATCTGCGACTCAAAACTGCGACTAAAACTACGACAACACACACGCGAGAAATCGTAAGCGTAACTTGCTTACGACTGATTAACGTTAAATATCTCAGCGCGCGCGCTAATTGCACGACACGCTAGTCCGGTACTTTCTTCTTAACACTAGTGTTTATGCTGAGTTTTTCAATAGACGTTTTTCAAATGTGAAGAATCACCAGTAATGTGACTGAGTGACATAGTTGTTTTCCCATTTCAGAACAAATGATGACAGACACATTTCTAGCATAAGAATCAGATCTCTTACGGAAGCTCTTCCTGAAAACAGGTAATGCGTAATCTTGTATAAGTTTCTCATTGAGTGATCATCTTGCATAAAATAGTGGTTCAGTTTAATTCAGTGAGTGCAACTAATTGAGGCTAAATTGTATCCACATATAAGAAACAAAGGTGATCTGCTCTAGAGAGAGGAGGGAAACATTATTTTCAGCACTTAAATACTCTGTGGACAGAAAATGTGCTTAGTATTTTTCTTTAAAAAAGACTAACAGGGTTTTTTTAACGTGCTGTGAGGAATGCTTTCTGTTCGCAAGAGGGACCAATAAGAGAGCTTAGTTGTATAGAAAGTTTCCTTGTTCTCAATAGATTGTCCAGACTGCTTCACAAGCAAAAGTTTGATGAAGCATTGCGGTTTGCAAAACAGTTTAATCTGGATATAGAGGTGAGATTTTATATCAAGGATGGTAACGTATTTGTTGTGGTTTGCATCAAGAGAAGGACAAACCATATTAGCTTGAAAAAAGTCAGTAATTTTATTTGTTTGTTTCCTTAGCTTGTGTACAAAGTTAAGGCTAACTGGCTTCTTGACAAAGTGTCACCATGGAATTATGAAAATGATCATGGGCAAGAAAGCAATGCTTTGGAGGGATTTTCTCTCACAAAACTTAAGGATTGCCTCACTCAAATAAAGGTAATAACAATCACATAGCATGTACCTTTGTATGCTGCAATGCAAGTCTACTCTCTCTGCCTGTTCATGAAGCTTCTACCTTCTGTCATCCCTTAGAATATCTTGGCTCAAACTAGAAAAATCTCTCATGCACTCCATTTTCTGTTAATTTCAGGATGATGAATATGTCTGCAGGTGTTGTTTGCAAGCGTCACTTCCCACACTTGATGAGACATTTGATCTGCTGAGCTATGCTAGAAAACGGGTGAGCTACCTTCATGTGCCATGTACCATTCAGATTTTCTTACATGTTGGTGACACAGGAAGAATAAGTAGATAAGTGGAGAGTTGATTCCTACCAGGATTTGTTTCCCCCCCCTTTGGAGTATAAATGGGTGCCAGCAAAATGTCAAGGAAACCTGCTGGATTGCTGGTGGGTTACCATGTGATGGACTGGCATCCTATCCAGGGGCGTGGGGGGAGGTGATCAGCAAAATCTCTGGTAGGATGGACATTCTGACCTCTTTTTTTCCATGGTGTTTAAATGGTGATAGCTTGTTACTCCAGAGACCCTGCCATCTTTACCAAAGCCCACCACCATTTGCTAGTGGTGCCCTTCCTTATTTGCTATTACTTACTTGTCAAGTGCTATAATTATTGAACCACAAGTGTTGCATGGGATACTACTTTAGATTTTCTTAACCAGCCAGCTATCATCATTTTGTGTAACCACAATGAGTAAACTTCATCTGGTATCTCACACTCAATGAAATTTCTTCTGCTAAGTCTTCCTTTTTTAGCAGGTATCCAAGAGTTGTATTTGTTAGTTGTTGTCTTTTTCATCCTGTTTCTTTTCCCTCCTCAGATTTCCAGCAACAGTGGGGTGCATAGCCAAAAAGAAGGTCCATGTGGAAAACCATCACGTCTCTTGACTGAGGTGAAGTTTGTGTCAGTATCGTGCTGATACTACAAGACATCCAGTGCCATGATATCTGATAACTGAATTAGCTTTACAAGATACTTAAGAATTGTATGTTTCTTCACTATGACAAAAGTGAATACTATGTGGTAATATTCATTTTGGTAGGTCCTTGAGGCATTGGATAGACTAGCAACTTTTGAGATGGCATTTGGAGTTGAAAATTTTAGGTGTGTTTGATTTTCTCTCAATTTTCTTGTCTTTCGTTTTCTTAGTTCATCAGGACTAGAATATATTTATATTTTTTCAGAGCAACTTGCTCATTATTGTGCAGCAACTGTAAAGACAAGCCTGAATCTATTCCATTTAAACCATTCATCAGTAAGAGATCATGTTGCGACCAATTTGCAAGGGAAAATGACATCATTACCCACTTGTGTTATCTTTCAATCTGTGAACCCAGTTGATTAAGTATGCTGTTAGAGATTTTCACAGGATAACCAAGCCCTATTTTACGAGAGAGTCACAAAATTTATTCGAAGTTTCAACATCAAGGTCGCCCCTAAGCCTATCCGCTCCATCTCGAGCATACTTCAAAAGCCCAAAGAGAAGATCGAGGAAGAGGCTTCCAGAGGAATCGTGTACAAGATCAACTGTAAAGATTGTGATTGTGTTTAAGTTGGTCAAACATCCGGGCACTAAAAACACGCATGAAAGATCACGCAAAGGCCATAGCAACATTGGATGAAAACTCTTTGTTGGCCAAACACCATATGCTTCACAGTCACCAAACAGATTTGGAGAGTGTTGAAATTGTTGACTTGTTGACAGGTCATCGGCGTGGCGACAAAGACTAATTCTTTAAGCTTAGCATTCCATGCGAGATGAAAACGCTATAAACGAACACATAACGCTACCAAACATATACAACAACATTGAGAATTTTTAGAGCCATTAAAAATACTTTAGAGACTATTGTTAAACTTAAAAAATTCCTTCGAGGTTTAGTTTTATCACACATCGTGGACATACACCAAGCAGGACGCCGTTAGACATTTGCATTTTTATCTTTGCTGAAGAAGGCAACAGCAGTAGCCGAAACGTCCAGAACAATATATGTTTTTAGCCAGTGTCAACTTTTTTATTCTTTTTACCAAAAATTTTTATTAAGCCTGGCTACGCACCGAGTATTTCTAACTATTTGTTCTTCATTGCAGAACTAACATCTTTTTTTACGTTGTCTCACAGTGGCCCCCAGTGGCAGTACTTTGCCTCTGTTGACCTCCTCGTTGAGCTGACAAAATGCCTGCTTTCTAGCAAGGTCACCAGTGCAGTTATCATTTGGAGAAGACATCAGGTAAAGTGATCTTGAAGTGTCTCAAAGTCACAAAGCAGTGTAGGCAAATGATTCATAACATATGACTGAATTTGGTGTGAGATTTTATTTTAATCGGTATTCTGAAATAGAGAAACACAGGATAAGCTATTCCATGCTAAGTTCCTGATGAGGCTCAGTAAACGGCATTCGTGATCGCTTAACAGAGGGGAAATTACAGTAATTGAGGGTTAACAATTTCTGGACTTTGAAAACAGACCGCTTGATAGAGAGTGACCGCTTAATACGGTGCCGCTAAATAAAGGTGCAACTGTACTTCTAAGTGAACACCAAGGATAAAATAATACGAAGAAATGATAATAAGAGCGTTCAGTTCAACACCCACTTTATTGTGGCAAATTTTTGTGGGAACGGCACTATTTATTCCATTACTTCTTTTGCAGAGTCATTTTGTCACTCAGTTTAGTATGGAAAAATTGGAGTCTTTAATTGGTTCAATTCCCGAAGACTTACACTCTTCCATTGTTATTCCGTGGCTACAAGATGACCTTGTGCCTTTTATCAGTAGGGCCTTTCCCTCGGGTCTGGTAAGTTAAAACACACGACAAAGAACTTATCACTCAATTCAGTCTACATGTTATTTCTTTAATATGGAAGCGATCTTCGCAGTTAGGAACACTACTTAAGCAGCAATGAAACTAAGGCCTGAATCAAATTCAGGCGTGTACGGGATTTGAACCCGTGACCTTTGCGATACCGGTGAAGTGCTCTACCAACTGAGCTAACCAGCCAACCTAGAGCTGGTCATTATGTTGGTCGTAAATAAACCCGTGAAGTGGTGAATAAATGACCATAAATATATGAAAATCATATATGTGAATTGCGGTTAAAGAAGTGAATATAGAGACGATCTTCGCATTTCTGAACACTACTGAAAAATTCAGGCCCTTACATGCCTGAATTTTTTTTCCGCCTTATTTTAACCACCGCCTAAGTAGTGTTCATAACGGCGAAGAGGGGAGAAGAGGTAACCTGTGTTACTTTCTCATACTGATGTTTTTCTCTGTTCTCAGCGGATGCTCGCGAGTTGGTTGGAGCAAAGAGCCAAAAATATGGAGCTTTCTGAGAAGGTTAGAAATAAGCGCTTGGATAGTGCCAGAAGAAATTTTTGCTCAGTATGGTTCTCTTTAGAAAATACTTTGTTCGAGTGATTAAGCCGATGAAATTGTTTTATTTCAGGAGGGTTGGCCTCAAAATGCTTTGCAACTTGCAAGTGTCCTGTTGTGTGCATCAAAGTCCGTTTCAGGGAGTGCTTCAGGGAGAGGTCTTGCCACTCCCGCTCAGTTTTCAGACCAGGTATTTTATTCTTCGAAGAGAGATATGTGTATTGTTTTTTGTATCATGTTAACTACTGATACCAGTCTGTTACATGACATGAATATCTGATCACATCATTCATACTATGGTTTAGTGGTTGAATACCTGACCAGCATATGAAGGAAGCGGAGTTTGCTCTCTATTGAGTAGGACTGACACGCCATCTTTGCCTCTCTCCTGGTTCTGTCAAGTCTTCTAATGATGTAGACAGTCCGAAGATGAAGTCTTGTACTTTCTATATCCTGAGTAACTTTTGAAAATCAGATTTTTTTCAGTGCTGAGTAGATATTGTGTTTGTAGGTTTGTGGTCTTCCTGCAACAGCAAGAGCACTATTAAAGGATAGCAAAAATAACTTGGTACGTGCCTGAGTCTCCAAACTAACTCTGACTGAGCCATTTAAAAGCGTATAGTTTATAAAACTTCACAAAGTTATCAGTTGCTTTTCACGTCGTTGTGTTTATTGGCTTTTAATAGACACATGGTTTTGTGGCTGTTAAAATCCGCCTTGCTGCAAGCTAAGAGCCTTCGACCTCTTTAACCTTTGAGCTGATTAATACTTACGCATCCAATTGAATATTAAATTATTAATTATGAGAGTACAACTATGGAAATGATTGATGAAATATACCCTTCATTGTTTGTCCAGTTCCTCAGTAAAGTTTCCATTGTTTGCTTTGTCAGGTTGATTGACGGTAAAATGTGAGTCTCTATTGACGAGGAACAATTAAATATTAAGTCAAAAATTTTTATTAGTAGTAGTAGTATTTAAAAGTAGTTAGTGGTACATTTACCTCAATATTGCTCAAAGTGGTAGGTTGTGTATTGCATTGCTCCTGCGGTAGTGACATGTAATCTGTGACTTTTTTTCCTATCAGGATGTTGACGATGAATTAGCCAGCTTAATGAAGTTGGTTCAGCAGTTGACTGAGCTTGTAGATCTTCACACCAAGTATTCTTGTAAAATAACGCTGGCAGAATTTTCTCAGGTATTTTTTAAATGGTCGCTTTGCTTTGGTCCAAAGTAAAAGTGAAAGGCGCGCAGAGTGTCGGGTTTTGTATACTTCTGGAAATTCTCTTGAAATAAAGGAAGATAAACAAATAAAGAGTTTTCAGCGTCTCCGAACACAAATAAACTCTAAATATCCTTTAAAAAGGGCTAATTTTAAAGGCTCCAACAAATGAGTCAGAAATCATCGGACAGATTCGTCCTAAATTGGACGGAAGCATGCGATCGGATGATCTCGCAACATCTGTCTAAAAGTGTTTGAAAACGGATGAAAATGTCCGGAAACGGAAGCAAATATCCAAAATCGGATGATAGCCATCTGAAATCGGACAATAATGTCCGAAATGGGACGAAAACGTTCAAAATCGAACGAAAGTGTCCGAAATCCGACGGATGTGCACAAAAACGGACTGAGGGGTCAGAAATCGGATAGAACTGTCCAAACTTGGACGAAACTACCCGAAATCTGGCGTAACTCTTTGAAACTAGGTGGAGAATTCTTGCCCATCTCCAGAAGACGTTTCTTCTCTGTTGAAAGTGTCATTATTCTAACACCCGACGAGTCAAACCTTTTTTTTTTTCCTGGAAGGTCCCCGTTAGAAAGAGTAGATTGTATGAAACACTTTTGCTGTTTCACAGGAAACCATAGCAACAATAGTGTTTCGCCTGCTGGACCGTGTAGTGGCCGCTGAACTCATTCCGAGTGCAATCGCCAAATACATAGCACCGTACATGGTTCATCACAGCCTTGATAGGGACACTATGCTTCTACGATACATAGAGGTAAGTAAACTATAGTATATTACTTCTGCAGAAGGGAGCCTTACCAACATATTTCGATTTGATGTCTCTAACTTTGGTTGATGTTGGTGTTGCTGTTTTAATCTGTTTCTTGGTTTGGTTTTTTTTTAGGCTTAGGTAACCTCTGTCGTCTTTTTATTTCCGGTCTACTTGTAGTTTCATCTCAATACTTTACAGTTGCCCATTCATTTCATTAATGTTAAAATCAGTTCCCATCAGTCTTAAAAATGCTAGTTTTGGGATTTCAGTTTGTGTGATATTTCCAACACTTACATGGAAATTGGACTTTTTTGTTTCAATTTGGAAGAATGATTTCGTCATGACACTTTACGTTTCTGTCGAAGGATTTGTTCAACAGAAGTGATGGATCCTACTCGTCATTGTCTAACTCACTGTGGGAGGCCAGAGTTATTGCAATCATTTCTTGCATCAAAGAAAAAGAGGTGACAACCATTTATGACATGTAACTTGTTTACGACATGTATATTCTTTTGTCCGAATCTTCCTTGTGACAGTTTAAAGAAACCACTAAATTGTGCTCCTCTCCCAGCGTATGGCTTCGCAGCTCTGTTGGTAAGAGAGCTCAACTAGTATCTGGGAAGCATGGGTTCGATTCCTGTCGAAGCCTTAATCTTTTTGCCCAGACTTCTTTTCTGCAGTTCACCTCCGAACATCATTGCTTTCCTTGAGTTGATAGTTTTAAAAAAATTTGGATGGGAAGGGCGATTTGAACGGGAAGCGCATCGAAATCAGTTTGCATACTGTTTTGTTTCTTTTATTATTCTATTTCCAGGTCCGTTGCAAAGCAACTCTCGAAGTCATGCGACATGCTATGATACCTTGGAGCGAAAGTGTCGAAAGGCTGGTCTCTGAATTCATGGCAGCCTATCCAAAGTAAGTTCACATAAAAACACTGTTACTTTTTAGTGAAGTCTCTCCATCATATGTTACTTTGTTCAGTTAATGGAAAGTAAAAAAAAAAGGAACAAAAAGGAGATATAACAGGAATGAACCGAATAGAAACAAAGGATGCTTGAAGATGGAGAAAATTCATACGGATGACAAATTACGTGCGAACTTGACGAACTACGTATGCTGCCACGTTATGAATGAACACAAACTCCATTGCATGTGTACTTTGCCGATTGTCTTTTTATTCTTCTGCCGAAAGTTTGCTTTATCTGAGCTACTACAATTGTATTCGACCAAACAGACTCGATGGCTTCACAAAATTCAAGTCCACCAATCAATTTCCATCACTAATTCAAGTCCTGTAATCTGTTAGTTGAGAGCAACTAATGCAGGTCACGTGTAACATTTTCTGCGCTCTTATTGGTCAGTTATCCTAGTAGGGGCCCCATACTGCTGATGGCCTTTTTTTAACGAAAGGTCTGTGTTCAGATGTTAAGTGTTCCTTATTTGTATCTACTCTGCCTCATGCAGTGCAAGAAAATATTAATTAATTCTACTTCAGCTGGCTTCCGTATTCCCTAAATTCGCTGAATTTTGAAGAACTTTGATTCTGGTCGTGCTTTATTTGAAAGGATTGCATAGAGTGAATATATCAACTTAGTTTATAGCTTCAAATGTTAAAATAAACTGCCGAAAGTTTTAGTTTGGAATTACGTGATCTTTGGTCCCCAAGTACGTTAACTCGCTAAATTTTACTTAAATTTCAGGTGATGCACTTTGTAGGTATTACTGTTGCATTCATCTGATTTCTTTGTTTCTTTTATCACTCAATCATTATCTTCACAGTGATATGAACCTCAAGGAGCAGTTTAGACTTGTTGAGCTTAAAAAGATGCTTTCTCAATATCGAATAAGAAGCTTTCATGTATCTTACGCTGCACGAGCGAAGGTAAGGGAGGATAAATACGTTTTAAAATATATCCGAAGGAAATTAATAGTCAATTCATAAGTGTCCTTGTGCACCTTTTTTAAGTCCTCAACTTTTCTCAGATCGAACCCCTTGTTACAATGTCCTTATTAAGTGCACTTGATGTTTGAAATGTTGTTAAAACGAGTTTTGCAATTTGACACTGAAAAACCTAACTATTCTTTATGGATGAAATACAACACTTAGCACAAACTTATTCCAAGAACACGCCCAATTTTCCTAGTTTGAAGAAATCGAATTTTTTTAAGATGATCGAGGAGAAATGAACTTCTCGATCATTAATTTTTGCGCTGGAAGCATCTACCGTCGAACGAAGAAATCACAAATTATAAACTCGATAGGTTAGAAAAATACTAAAGAAACGATGAACAGCGAGGAAGAAGGAAGAAGCTGTTACGGATTAAAAATAGTTTGGCAAATTTCCTCAATAATTATGATGATGTTGATGATGCAAAAATCATAACGTAAATTGTTGTCATAAATATCAACTGATTTTAATATTGATAAATGCTGTTTACTCGCACATATGTTTTTGCCTCAGTTAGATCTTGGATCAACTGTCAATGTCTGTGAATAGTTTTTAAGGAAAACTCAGACGTAATTGTCGTTCTGTATGATACAAACCGTGAAATCAGATCTGCTTGAAAATAAAACCGCGTTAAATATTTAATTCCAGGCAATAACAAGATATATTTTGACCCGAGATCAACCAAATGTAATGGAAGACGCCTTGAAGGTAACTCGAAACAAATGCATTGCTGTTTTACTTTCATAATGTATCAATTTTAATGAGCCATTTGCTACTTTAATGTTTCTTAACCCAGTCAGTGCAAAGTTACAAAGTTAAGGGACCTCTTAAGTGGCGGTTTAAAACAGAACTATTTACATGCAGAACAACCACCTGAAATACATGTAGGGCTCGTTTATTTTCAAGATAACTGAGAAACCATCTCTAAGAACGATCAGTTTGAAGCCATTCCGTTTAAAACTGGTATTGCCCACGGACACGTTTTTCCAGTGAGTTTCCAAGTTTACTTCTTGTATATTCTTCAACCACCAGGATACAAGATTAACCATACCTATTACTTTGCTTTATTTCATTTATTTCTAGTACATGTTTGAGTTTGTTTTTCTTATTGAAGGTGGTAACATCATATAGTCATGTTACAGAAGACGAAGCCTACGTCTTTCGACTTCAGAAATTGTGTCGTGAGGACAAGGTGCACAATTCTTTATATTTGCATTTTAAAACTTAACGTCTTTCCTTTTTTCCTTGTCAAGCCATGTTTTTTTTCCTTTAATCCGTGGGTGGGTGAGATGAAAAAATCTTGTTAACTGATTGGCTAACGTTACCGTCCCATTCTGAAAATGAGACTCGCTAACACATGATGTTTTAGATTCCAGCCTGTTTGGAGTTGCTAGAGTCAGTTCCATTACCGCAAGCAGAACAGTATGCGCATGAACTGGTGACTTGGCTCAGTGGAATTCTTGAAAATAACTTCAGTGATACGAAGGTTATTAATCTTTTTTTTGTTGCTGTTGCTGATGTTGAGGAAGAATAGCTTTTGAAAATAATTTTTAAAACTTTTTACGCTTCTAAATGGATACCATTTGTTCTTTCAAACATCCAGGAATTCTCTTCAGAGAAGATTGTGGCTGCTCAAGCAGGGGTTGCAATCTTGAAGTTCATGAAGAAGCATAGTGAGTCTAACCTCTTTCTTTTTTACTACCTGTTTTATCTGTTTTCTACTCCACAATTACTTTATGCATATGATTGTTTAGAGATAGTTCATGATTTGTTTCTGACCCTTTTTTGTGTCTTCGCTTTTGATTCAAAGACCTTTCATCGATTGTCGACGTAGATGAATCTCTTTCTACACTGCAAATGATTTCTGCACTTCAGGTGAGGTTCATCTAATTTGGAATCTAACTGTATCCATATCAGACTATTTTGGGGGAGGGGAGGGGGAGTAGCCCTTTTGCTGTAGATTGCTCACAAGCCGAGTGGTCGACACCGCTAAAACTTATTCAGGTTTCAATAGCAAAAGGGTTACTCCCCCTCCCCTTCCCCAGAATAGGATGATCCCAGCCAGGGCTAGAACATGGACCAGTTTGCTTAACCCTTTAACTCCCAAAAGTGATTAACATATAACTTCTCCCTGTAATATCAAAACATTATCCAGCAAACAGGTCATGAGAATATTCAAACTTATCAGGTAGAAGTTATCTTGATCTGACATTAAATTCTCGTAACTATTTACAAAGAAATGTTTAGCAGCGAGAGGGGAGAATTGACAATGAGACCTTGGGAGTTAATTAACTGTTAGGCCACTGCATCTTCCATGGTACTGGAGACGAAACTGACCTTTTTTTTTTCTTCTTCTTCTTTTTTTTGTTTAAACTTATTTTTTCTTTTTCTTTTTTCCTATTTTTTTTGTTTGCGTTTCAGAGAGAATTCTCTGTATTCCTGTCTGTCGAGGAGTATCAGGTTCCCGACGTTCGGCATGGATTATTTGAACAATATCTTCAACTGTATTTAGATTCTCGTGAAAAGAAGGACAGTGATGTTGATGAAAAGGTAATGACCGACTCCTGTTTGTCGGTGTATTGAAGAAAACTGCTCACGAATGTACAAAGAAATCAAAGGATATTAGATAATTATCATGACTACAGAGCTTTACTGGTGGAGAGCCTCTTTTCGGAAGTGAAACGCCACGTCAGGGCATGAGCTACTTTGGGCTTTTTCAAAAGTACAGAACCTGTATCTTCGCCATTACTCCCTATGTATCTTTATCTCTCTGTTTGTTTTTTCATAGCATGATTCGCAAAAGATTAGCAGCGAGGTATGCTCTGGTGTAGAACAAGTGACATTGACTAAACTATTCAGGTAAGTATTAGTTGACTTCTTTTAACGGATATTATTTAGAAAGAAATGTCCAACTATCTCTTACTTATTAGGATTCATCGTTCGTTAACTGCTTCTCGTTAAGAAAGTGCATTACAAGGCATTACCTTTAGATGTCGTCTTTTGTAACCATACCTTTTAGATCTGTGTCAGATGCTGAGATACAGTGATCTTATGTTGATCATAACTAACCAGGTCATTACCTACTAATATTCATGCATCGAAATGGTTAGAATCTATTCACGAACTTATAACATCAATACAGCCAGAGTTGAGATTTTCTTCAGTCTGTTACGCTTTAGACAATACTTTTTATAGCAAAAGCATCAAACACGTGAAGCAGGAATTAGATCCAATGATGCAATAATTCTGCTTAGAATTTTTTTTATTGTCCGATTAACCATAGGCTGTTCAAATAGTAGCGTTAAGTGAAGATACGTTAGCATGTACGGTATTTGCTCAAATGTAGTTTATATCTAATGTCTTTTGAAGGTTAGGGGAATTAGTGGGAATGTTAAAGGAAGAAATAAGACTGACGTTGATGTCCAAAGCAATCTCTGCAGGGAATATATCGTATGCTTTAGATATGTGCAGGTATGCTATCGTCCTGTGAACTTCTTCTGGTTTTGAAAAAGAAAGAACATTTCATTGCTTGGTATTCTGTGTCCCGTGCTTGTTATCCACAATTGTCAACAAGCTGCTTTCTCAACAAGCAATAGCTAATCCATCATAGTCGCTTTCATCTCTTCCTAGTGGGTTTCTGTACTTTGTCAAAAACTTTGCCTGAAAATTAAGCGATCTGTTTTGTTATATTGCTGTCTTTGTCGTATGTGACGATTGTAAACTGCATTCCTCTCGTAACAAGTTTCTTATTTTGCGTTATCCATGGTCAGTAGTACAACAGTATTTTTCCCTCTTACGGTTCTGAACAAAAAAACGGTTTTAAAGATTACTGGGTTTTCACATAAAGTACGACTTGTAAGATCTTTAGGATAATTAATCATTGTAGATCCGCCATGCCATTCCTAACGACGCAAAGTCATTGTTTTGTTTATATCCATGCACCAGACTTATGATGAGCGTCCCTAGACATTTTGCACACAATTAACCCTTTTTTTTCGGAGATGGCGGGAAATTTCAACATTGCTTTTGGTGATTGGAATTGTTTTAGGGAGTTGATTGAAAGAGCTCCATGTGCAAGAACTGCCTTGTCCTTGTACAAAGTCGTTCTCAATCTTTGTGAGACGCTTGCTGAAGGACACTCCATAGTTACGGATAAGAACGAGAACATGTATCACCTGACTCATACGATACATCAGCTCTTGTGTCAAGCATCGACTCACTGTTCAGCAGGTTAGTAGTCCTGATTGGACAAAGAAAGCAAACCGTCCTTTTCTTTTGTTTATGTAGATGTCGTCTTATCAGTGTAAAATGTTTATATTCGTTTCGTCGCGAGTGTAAGGCACAGAAAAAATGAGTCTGCTTTAAGTATTCAAACCTCAGATCTTCAGATTCGTTGCTGTAGGGTGCAATCTCTGGGGGGTTTCTAATATTTTTCCTTTGTCCCACACCCGTGGCGAAACGCATATCGTGCCTCTTTATCTGCTAATAGTTGCAACTTTTGCGGAGCAGCATTTAAAAACTGGTCACTAGATTTTACGACTTGATGGGAAACTGTATGGTTGACAGTTAAATTAAAGAAACTGCTCTTGCAACTGACACGATCTTCCTTGAATTTGTTCAAAGCTGACAGTTACTTTGTACATACAGTTGTTGTTTATAACCTTATCTTGTATTTGATTTCTTTTATGGCGTGTTTTTCTCATTGCCTAGATTTGCTATGTGACTGCACTGAGCTGTGCAAGTATTGCCGTCTGACAGACTCTGTGTACTCGCAGTGTGAGAGTGGTGATTACGGATTTTCCGTCCAAACAACTCCACAAAGGTGGGCATCTTTTGGTATTACGTTTTTCACGCAAGTTTTGTCTATTATCCCAATACATTATGAGCCCGCGGAGACGCAATTCTCCAATGGGTGCTGTTCTGGGCGCGAAAACTGGCTGGGTCGTTTGTGTTGTGTTCTTTGTCAAGGCACACTCTTATCACAGTGCAAATTCCACTCAGAAGCGTAAATGGGAACTGGTAACTGTTAGGGAAATTTGACGAATGGCTGTCTGGTTGGGGTGTAGCATCCCATTCAGAGGCTTTAGCGATACTCCTAGTCGTTCTGAGTGATAGAAACCGTGGTGCACCACAAGGTTCGCAAGGCTAACCGAATAAAGGAGGTAAATATTTAAAGAACTGTGGTGCTACTTCAGTGGGAGAGTTGACGCTGATGTTTCGAGCGTTAGCCCTTGGTCATTCGCTCTGACGAAGGGTTAACGCTCGAACGTTAGCTTTGAAACTCTTTACAGTGGCCAATTTACGTTCCCAAGGCTAACCACTGATTGCTTAAACACAGTTAAATAATGATGGAAGGACATCGAGGTCTTGCTTCAGTAGAAGAATGACTTTGTGGTGTCATCACGCAGAGAAAAATTTAGTCTTACATTTGCTTTAGTTGTATGTCTGTACCGTTTACTTGGCTACTTTGGACATTGGATTCCAACTTTCATTGATTGTCTTGAATTCGTCTACTAAATAAATCAACATTTTCCACACCTTTATCACTATTGTCATCATGCAATGAGATACAAGGGTATGAATGGTCACCACCGGTGACTGACATCTAATTTCTCTTTATTGTATATTTGCTGAAAAAAAATAAATGAGCGCCATCTTAAAAAAAAGTTCTTTATTCTTTTTAAATCAAATCGTCCGCTCATTTTTGTTGAAAATGCACTGGACATACTGATATCGGGGTGAAAAGGTTTAAGATGCACAAACTTTACGTGTTCATATTTAGTCAAATTCCATGCTAATCTGTCCTCCTTTTTCTTCCTTTACTTTTTCAGCTCAAGTCAGGATCCCTTTATGGAATGGACATTTGGTAAAAGGTTCAGGGAAGACTGTTTAGTGCTGGATTCTTTTGTTGCTCTACCCTTAGCTGCAAAGCTTAGCATAGCTGCAGTTCCAGGTAACGACTGAGAAATTCGAAAAATGTTCTTGCAGGGGTACATTGCCTGTAGTTTCAGTCACGCGACAATCAAGAGATCTGGGAACATCTCTGGCCCAAAAACGGTCTGTACAGCCTCCTCATTAGAAAAAAGCTAATATCGTATTTATCAAAGCGCCCTAAAGTTTAGCGCCCTGATTAAGTCTCCTTTTTTTTTTTCTCGTGTTAAAAACCGGAGAAAGCACTGCTCCAAAGAATATATAAACTGTTAATACCAGTGAGCTGTTAGGGAAATCAGAAGATTTTCGAGTTATTAGAGGCCTGGTCTATGTGAGTAATGTTTATTTTATGATCTCATGGACAACCTTTCATGTCCGCATCAACTGTTGTGAGACGCAGATATGATTGTTATTTCATACCAATATGGTTTGTTGAAAGAATTTTGACATGACACGACAAGATCATGCCATGAAACTCTTACCTACCTTGTGTACAAAAATGTCCACCTGATAAACGAGAACTCCTATTTACGTCACCAACAGCCAATTACAACTCAGCCGGACAAAGACCATTTTATCAAGCACGAGTAGCTGGTAGAAGACAAAAGTGTCAAGGTAAAGTTGTGCTGTAAGTCGATAGACCCATTTCAGTTTCTTGCAAGTCGTTTCGACTGCAGCACGCCTAGAACAGCTAGGACTGAAATCCACCAATCACAGCTTTTGAAACCAGCCAAATTTCAGCGGATTCTTATGCTTATTGAGGCTATACGTAACCAGTCAACCTTATCACCTAGAGACACCGAAATTCTCTATTAGTGTTTTTATTATTAAAATGCTTAGCATTTCACGACGCAGTAATCTTGACGTTGCTTATTAAATATCTTGTCGAGTTACGTTTCGTAAGCTCTCAACTCAAGGGATGATTTTGTGCTTTTGATCAGAATCAAAGGCAACTGAAAGTGGTGAAGTGGATAAACAGTCTTCGTATTTGATGCTGACTAGTAGTGCTGGACTTGACATAATCAGACACCTTCAGGATAACAGTCTGTGCGAGTTGGCTTTACAGTATTTACTTCAGGTGAGGATCATTTGAAAAATGGTTGAAATAGTTGTTTAGTTAACCCCGGCGGTGCCAAGACCGGATTAAAATGACTTTAGTAGGGAATATTGGTCATTTGCAGTAGTGCAATTAAGCAATAAGCCCTACAAAATTTTCAGTCTGTCAGCACACGCTCATCTTTCTGATGCATTTCTAATTGTCCTTTTTAGACGCTTGGTGTCTGTCTGCAACATTTTGCGGTAAACAGTATGCTTAGTAACGACAAGGTGAGACAATAATTGGTGGCATATCTTGACCTGCAATCCATTCATGACAGATAGTGATAGTCCTCGAGCCTGAATTCACCAAGTACATGACAATCTTTTCGTCTTCCAGGAGGATCAAAAGAGCGGCGAAATTGAGAAACAGAGGCTGGCGAAGATTGCTACGATGAGCATTAAAATGATGCAAGAGCTTTCTGGAAACCTTTTGAGGAAGGTATGCGTTGTCAAATTGATAGGAAAAACGATTTAGCCCAGCTTTGTTACGTTGTAACATACATTGGTAATCGAAAGGGCTACTTCAAAATATATTACGTCTTTTTCGGCGAAGTAAGAATAACATTGACTATTAGTACCGTCGTAGTGTCTCAGTAATTCTTAATCCTGCCGGAAGTAAACCTCTCAAGGCTCAATCCACAAACTGTCTTCACTCTAACACTCACTGATGAGGTTTTCGAACTTTTTGCTGCCCGTTAAACAAAACCTGAATGGCATTTTAAAAAATGGAGAAAGAAATGACAAACACTTGATAAGCTCTCGTTTCTGCAAGCGGCGACTCAAAAAACTTTTTTTTTGTCATGTAGGTATTCAATTATCGATCAGTTGACCATGACGTGGGTCTAGGTTACCTGTGTTCCATACCAAAACAGACTGCCTTTCAGATCTTGGTATCTGGGACAAATTTCCTTGGTCAGAGCTGTACTAAAATTCTGGTAAGACGCTATTAGAAACTTAGATGGAAATTATTTATTTATCATTAGTTATTGTAGCCATTATCGCATTGATTTTCTTTTAAATTTGTTTTGTTTTTCTGTTTTTTTGTTCGCTTTAAGCGTGTGTTTGAAAAATGGAAGGATTGCTGACCGATTTGATTGTTAGAACTCCACTTCTTCTTGTAGGCTTTTTCAAAGGTTGGCATGGACTATGCTCAGCTGTGTAATGAGCCTGCTGTTCTTCAAAAGTGTCAGGAAATATTTACCAATGCCACATGGGGAATAAAACTTGGACGACTTAAGGTAACAGTCTGCCTTGTTCCTTTACTGGAAGAATACATCTCGTCTTAAATTATATGAACCTTGTTTTAGCAACTTGTTGGAGGGTCTAAACTCAAAGCTAGGATCAGAGAGGAGTGTGCATGTACCTCCGCAGCGCGCATCTGACACGCTGACCTCTCCACCATGCTGCCCCTCATGGATGCTTCTTGTGAACGTGACTAATGTTTTTCGTCTGTTAACCATATTTTAAAAGTCCCCTCTGTCCCACAGCCCCCCTATGTAGTTTTGAGTTTTACTGATCAACTAAAAATAATTTAACATTATTTGTGTTGTGGAAACATTTATCAAGGGATTCTCAGATCAAAAGATTTGGTCACCGAATGATTCTTTGTCGAGTAATTTTGCTGAACATAGTGTCACTCCATACCGAACCATATCATCAAACAAAATAATTGAACATTGTTTATGTAGAGGGAAAATTTATCAAGGAATTCTCAGATCAAAGGATTTGGTTCCCAAAGGATTCTATGTTAACTAATTTTGCAGAACAGTGTCATTCCATATCGAACCACGATTAAACACATATTGGAATACATGTTGGATTTAACGGGCGATTTCAATTATTTGCAGATGTCGTTGAAGGACGTGTATAAAACCGACCGGGAAGAGAAGTTAGCTATTTTACCAGACCTGATGCAAAAACAACAGATTAGCCTTGAGATGATTTTGGAGTTTTGCAGGTACTGCTGTCGATTTCGTTGCCTTTACAATGAAATGCATATTTATGCTACAATCAATTTAATTTTGAAATTTTCCTTACTTTACATTTCCGTATAAGTCACAAATGCATCGGTGGTTCCATGCTTTTAGCTCCTGTGTTCTTTGTGATTCTCAGGGCATTTAAACTAGACGAGGATAGCGCTTTGTTGACGTATGTTAGACAGCAATTGCTCCCACCCTCCCCTCGCTCGCCGCTGGTGGTTTCACAAGACGGTGTGGAAGAAATGAATTATCAAAGGAATGTGCGGAAAGTGGTCCATAAAATTTCCTGCTCAAGTTCCCTTCTTAAACTGATGGTGGAAGTAGGGTCAAAGGTAGGCTCGAAAAATGACATAAAAAACAGTCTTAGTTGTAATATATCTATGAAAAACAACGTCCGTGAACTGGTTGACGGATAAGTAGCATCAAAGAAAACTTCCAAACAGATTAGATATCCAAACTGTAATCAAAATTATAGTAAGTTATTCCCCAGTTTACACCAGCAAAACATATATAGTTAAAAGAGATTTGGCTGAAGAAAAATCAGCCATAAAAAAATTTAAAAACTAACTTTTACGTAGGGGTCAATTCATCACTAACTTTTACTTTCATTTCTTAATTTGAAGTTGACAAACAGTTTAAGCAACTTCTATGTAGGAAACAATTTGAAATTGTGTTTCACAGAACAGCTTTAAAACGTGTTTTGGCTTTAATATGAGTGGGGTATTAGTTACAGCTTTTTCAACCGTTACCTCCCGTGATTGGAAGTTACGCGCCAGGGGGGTACCCTTAGGCTAGCTCAACCTTCAGATAGAAGAAGGAACAGCTTTAAAACGTGTTTTGGCGTTGATATGAATGGGGTATTAGTTACAACTTTATCAACCGTTGCCTCCCATGATTGAAAGTTACGCGCCTCAGGGGGGTACCCTCAGGCTAGCTCAACCTTCAGATAAAAGGAGGAACGGCTTTAAAACGTGTTTTGGCTTAGATATGAATGGGGTATTAGTTAAAACTTTATCAACCGTTGCCTCCCATGATTGGAAGTTACGCGTCTCAGGGGGGTACCCTCAGGCTAGCTTAACCTTCAGATAGATTACCACCCTCATGACTGGAAATTCGCCACACCCTAGCCACAAGCCCCTCGTTCTAGGCACCCTTCCACACTGATTAGATCGGTGGAAGGAAAAGACGAGTAGGGTGGGGAGGGATGCGGTAACGCTTGTGAACAGCCGAATGAACCACACAGGATTGAAACACAACCGCTATTAAAACCGCTCTCGAACACAAAGATCCAACCGCGCGAGCCTCTGTGTTTTTGACAATAACTGTTGACCCTAAACGCCCGTTAAGCTCGCAGCGGTTAACATGGTTTAATTGTCATCTAACTAAATTCAAGTGTGAGGTAAACTTTCATATCTTGCTTTTCAGGTGGATCCGTATGATTATGATACAATTCTGTTCATACTCAACCTGGTGAAGGAACTCTCTCAGGAAACTGCTTCAACTGTTGACAAGGTATGAAACCAACTCATTGTTGCCTCAGGTCAGCTACCATCCCTGTGTGGATATGGCTTTTGTACTTAATGATTTAAACATGCTGCTTCTCGATTAAACCGCGTGGAACTTTCGAAGGATGTCCTGGGACATAATGATCCGATTTTACGGAGATTCTGAGGTCCAAGACATCTGCTCCAAAGCTGAAAAACTCGAACATATGGCATTGTAGTTTAAATGTCTTTTTTTCTTGTGAACCTGCCGTGACAGACTAGTCTGGTTTTTTTTTCCTGTTACAGGGTATTCAGTTATTGGACTACCTGTATCAGTACGAGCGCAAAGCAGTGCCAACCAGTTATGAGAGATCGTTTTATTCTTCATCACAGAATACTGACAGTGAAAAGGTGAGGGACCTAAATGAAATTTTAAAACGCTTGTTCTCAACCTCGACATTTTTAATTTTATCGTTTCCTGGACAAATATTAAGACTTGGTATGAAACAATCTGAAAGGTGTGAATGGCCCCTATTTGAGTTCATTCGGTCCGATTAAAAAAAAAAAAAGAATTTCATTGAAATGGACCTTTGCTGTGGTAGTTCAAGACAGCGAGTTTATGTCCCTAAAAACACTTGCATAGCCTTTGCTGTCTCTTAAGTTAACCCTTTAACTCCCAAGATCTGATTTTTAACTCTCCCTTCTAGCTTCTGCACATATCCTTGTAAATTAAATACAAGAATTTGTTGTTAGATCAAAGGAAGAAGTTCCATGTTAATCACTTCTGGGAGTTGTAGTGTTAAAAAGTTTTGATATAAAATTGTAACTTTTATTTAACTGTCGACAGCCCAATTTTTTTTTTTTCACTTAATTTTTGAAATTGTCAAGCTTGTCTGTTTTGCTTTTGGTTTCTCTGGGTCCCTGATTCCATATCAACAAAATACAATTTAGAGAGTGAGTGAACAATGTACTGACATTTTATGTCTTCACAGGCCACCTTGGACAACGATAAACCGTTGTCCGTAATGTCGAGAACGAGGCTCCCATATCATTCTCTGCTTTACGGGAATCCATGGAAAATTCTTGGTAAGTAGCTGAGTCAATTTGGATGTTTCAGTGTTTATCCATTTTTCATTGCTATTATTTTACTTGGCTCCAGAAAGGATCCTTTGTGTTTGAATTTCATGGTCCGCTTTTAAACCTGAATCAATTTTCAGCTCCCGAGTTGTCAGAGGAAACAGTTCCAAAGCTTTTGGGTATTGCTAACTTGCTCAAGGTGAGACGTTTGTTGTCGACTAACAGGATATAGATATTAACCTTCCAAGGTTATACACTTTCAAGTTTTCCAAAGAATAGCTAATTGTTCACTGCTCATTAGTGAATCATTTCTAATGCCTCTAGTTTTTCCGACCTATTTTTTCGTACCGTTTCCTTTTAAAGCTTTCCAGTGATGAGATGTACCTTACAGCTATACGTAACTTAGCGCGATCTTCAGTCGGTCCAGCGGTTCCTTGTGATCTTGATAGTGATCCCAACATAAGTGGTCTGAATGTAAATGAAGGACCGAGCCAACTGGTGAAGAACTACAACAGCGAAAAGGCCAAGAGTATGCTGTATGCTGTTAACAACAAGGAGATGGCCATAGCCGCTGCCAAGTGGATCGCTCAAAATTTACCTCTCGGTAATGAAATGGTAGCATTTTCTCCAGAAACATCTCCTAGGTCTTTACACTTTTTATACCTAACATTTCTCAAAGTTTAGGGGAAAGTCAATAATGATAAATAATAATATCTTTATTTCTATAGCGCTCATTAACAATAGCTCGTGGCGCAATCCAACGACAATCATCATTCTATAAATCATTCATAGACTATCATTCTATCGTAAGTATCTTTAACATAATAGCAACTTGATTATAGAAAAGCCGATAAACGCGAGGTGAGAAAACAGAGGCAGCGACGGCTTTGCTTCCTGAGACATGGAGAAACAAAGTCGCACAAGTTCAAAGTGGTTCCAATTCGTTTGCGTAATTCTGTATCAAGGTCAAACTTCACAGACTCTGAACGCCTGTTGTCCGTTTAAAGCTAGTCCGTAGCCTGACATATGACCTGCCAATCGACAAAAATTATTTGCGGGCTTAGTGAACTCATCTCGACATGTCAGTCTCATCAATGTTTGTGATTTGCGGAAGAGAGAACCATAATATTTTCCCCGTCTGGCTTCCTCCCATAGGCGAGGAGAAAATAGATATGCTGAAGACTTGTGTTGACCTTGCTAAGACTTGGAAATCGGAATGTTCTGAAAAGGTATTGTAATTTGTCTCCTAGGTTTTCTTCGAAAAAACTTTAACTCTTTAAATAGAATTTAAGCATTGTCACTCGTGGCTCTCATAGACCGGGATTACTTATGTTTTCTTTGAAAAATTAGTGGTACTAGGTTTGAGATGTCGCGCATTATCTCTTGACTTGTATGGCAGCTGGGAAAGGTTTTGTGACCCTTTTTTTCGTACCGACCAGTTTGAAAAGCACCACATTTTGTAACTTTTGACATATTTCAGGATGAAGAGAAGGCAAAACTCACCCATAGCCGCTTGTTGGAGCTGTGTCGGGGCGTGGCCACTGAACATGTACTCCACAAATATAACATTGTAGACCCTTCCATCGCTTCTTTAACAAGTAAACCGGCCAAACTGGTTTGTCAGCTGTATGAGAAATATGGAGCTAGAGAACCAGGCACTGCTCACCTACCGCCAGGTACTAGTACTAACTCTGCAAAAGACCAACGAAGAAGCTCCCGTTACTTATTTACGGCTGCTTTGAAAATCTCCGTTTGCCTCCATTCAAACATGTGTCTGTATTGTTTCCTGTAATCCCCAAATGCGTTTGAAGGGTCAAGAATTACAGTCCGCTGAGTATATGCGGCTCGGTGGACTTAATAAATGATGATCGTTGTCTTATACTTTATATTTGCGATTTTTAGAGATCGGTAGTTCTTCGTTTGGGCCGTCAATTTTAATACCAGCGGCCGCTCAAGGGATCGTTCCCAAAAGCGTCCAGCTCCAGTTATAATGGACACTCTTTTCTGCTTCCTTAAAGGAGCCCCATTTTTAATTTATCATTCAATGAAGAGCTAGAGACTTCTTCGGCATATAATTTTCGAAGGATTAAGCTCTGTGTGAGCCCTCTTGTATTGATTTTCTCCCAATTTGCCACCTAGACTCTGATTTCTTTCATTTAAACCGAATTAAAGTACTTATGAATTATTTGTGTAGACATCCACAAAACTGCGGAGGAAGTCGCAAGTGTGAACAATACCAAGATAGAGAAGATCAGGCTTTATTTAATTGAGGTAGGATAAACGCTTTACACAGGAATAAGAGAAAACTTAAAAAAAGAACTAGCAGCCGGAGTAATGAACACGTTCAGTGCCCTCTACATTTTTCCAGTACCACTCTTAAATTAAACATAAGTAATCTTATCATTGTGTTCCTAAACATAATTGCTCATACCTTGCAATGACTGTAATCTCTGTTTTCAGAAATGGCTACCTTCCTCAGCTGAAACATCAGGTGACACGGAGGTAATAGAACGAACTTTCTTTTAGTATGGCTTGTTCCGTTGGGCAAGACAGCAAACAAAGCCAGCAGCATTTACCTCGGTGTATTGATGTAACTATATATGCGTTATTGACCAAGTCTATGTCAAGATGACTAGATACTGGCCGAGTTTTTTTTTCCCGATTTTATGGACCGAGAATTGTTTATTTCGAGAGGCGGGAAAGAGAGCCAACTGTGTTTGTAGCACAAACCCATGAGAGTCGTTTATGTTTCCTTTGTGTCTTCAGCCGCCTTTTGCAACTCTATCGCCGATGTATGTCCATTTCAAATTTGTTTTTGCGCGGGATCAAAGTGGGCAATCCCGAGCGGTTCGGGTAACCAATCAGAACACAGGATTCGCTTCCTATTGACCACGGGCACTGCGATATAATAAATGTATTCACATACATAAACATGGTATGTTCTCATATTGAAAGATAAGTCATTGAAACAAGGATATAACCGGTCAAAGAGCACCTTTAACACAAGCGCCGTACAGTTATCGAGACATCAACTTCTTTGCTCGAGGTCCAACGCTGAGAATTAAACTTGAAAAATCCTCTAAGTTGAATTTTGGACGAAATTGGGTACTTTAACTTCTGGCCTCCGCTTGTTTCACTGTTGCCCGCAGCTCCTTTTTCGTTGAAGCTTTTGAAAGCGCTTCTCATCTTTCCAGTTAGCAGTTTCTTACCTCCCCTGCTGTGATGAAGAAAATAAAAATTACCCGATCACTAAACATGTTCACACCTAAAATTACGCCTTTTTAGATTTTAAAGTAAAAGTTGTTGTTAGATGTTTACTAATGAAAACTTGATCTTCAGTTGATCACACCTGTTAGTGAGGAAAATAATGAAAATGAGGAAGATGAGCAGAACTTGAAAAGGTGACTAAACACACGAATTGTTCTTATTGCATGCTGAATATTTCATTGAACTAGGAGACTACTTGTTTATATCAAGAGGGTCTTAGCAGGAAGGAATAAGCAATTTTTCAGAGCATGTCTACCATGAAATTTTCCCCTGATGAGGAATCTGAAATATTTTCCCTGCTTTTACTAAATTTCTCGATTTATCTCTTCTGAATTTCGAAGCTATCAACCGATTTGTTTATCCCACATGCAATGCTCTTTACTTCGCCCGAGATCTACATTTCAGGCGTCATAGTTTCTCGTCGTGCTATGTTGATCATTATTCTGACGTTTTCTCTTTTCGTCCAGGGTCATCTACATCATGGAAAGCAGCAGCGACCGACCAACTGCTGTTACATTCCTTCTCAATCTTGCAAACAAGGTAAGATTCAAGGAAGGATGATGATCAAATCATCTCTTTCAAGCGTAGAACAAGGAAAAAAAATTTTACCATCAGAATTAAAACGGTAGACTTACTCTTACTGATTAGCATCTCCCGAGGGTACTGAAACTTAAGGCCTTGTACAAGGTTTTATATATCTGGCTCGACGCCAGAATCTGAAGTATTTTGTATAGATATGAGTACCAATCAATTTTAGGTGATATGTTTATTTTTGTGTGTTTGGGTTTTTAGAAACAGTGGACTTTTGTTCTATCTACTTACATGTGAAAGTACTTTGAGTCGATGGTACCAGGTGTTTTGCGACTGGCCGATCCTTAATTTTTTTGTTCCTGGCTTTAGAGATCTCCAACGCTTTTAACCCTTGAACCCCTAAGAGTGACTAGAATCCAAATTCTCCTTACCATATCACTCCTGTATCACACATTATGGTAACAAGAATAACGGAAATGATCACCAACTAAAGAAGCTCCTGATAGTTAAATAAATTCTCCTCAGTAGCACCTTAAGAAATGCATGGAGAAGAGTATAGAGAAAATGTATATTGATGTTAAGGCGTAAAGGGTTAAAGATAAGCATATAATCCCATATTCTTTTAAAGCGATATATAAAGCCACACAACACACACTGGTGACCTTTTATTACTGTTCTAGACTGGGTCTTCGAGCACCTGTCGTCTACGTGCGCTTCGAACTCTTTTCGCCATTGCTCCTGGAGAATTCATTGAAAAACTGTGCAAAACTTCAGTCAGCGTGATCAGGTAAAGATAAAGAATTAGCTGAGGCTCGAACGAGTGTTCTGTATCACAAGTAGCTACACATATTAAGTGCACGAAGGTATTTCTTCTACTGGGAGGCGAATTTTGATCTTTTTTTTTGTTTTAAAGGTGTAATATGATTCGATATAGATAGAAATAAGAGAGATGTTAAGTTTTTAGCTCGGTAAAGAAATAGAGAAAGATGTTTTTTTCGTCTTGTCACGAGCGTGGGACAAAGGAAAAAATTCTGAGTCCCCATGAGGAATCGAACCTTAGACCTCTGGATTCCGCGCTCCGATGCTCTACCACTGAGCCACAGAGACCCCATAGTGAGCGAGGTCTATTACGAAGTTCATATGACACGCGTCTTGCATACTTCTTGGATCAGCAATGTCGATAGCGTAATGTTTGTAGATAGAAATAAGAGAGATGGTGAATTTTGAGCTCGGTGAAGAAATAGAGAAAGACTTTTTTTCCGTCTTGTCACAAGCGTGGGACAAATGAACTTCGTAATCGCTTACCATGGGGTCTCTGTGGCTCAGTGGTAGAGCATCGGAGCGCGGAATCCGAAGATTTGAGGTTCGATTCCGCATGGGGACTCAGAATTTTTGAAAGTTAACGGTCGTAACACTTTAGCATGATCGTTGAATGTTAAGTCTATACTCACCATCTCTAACCACTTAACACCACAGTGAAGCGGACCCATGGTCCGAGATTAGTTTTTTCCGTTTTCATATAGATCCCTAGGGCACAACTTGAACTCATTCAAAGGGCACCTACTCTTGACACGACATATTTTCCCACTAATTTTGGTACCGTTGACAGGCAACAGATGCAGGCTCTAGTTTGTCTCGCTGAGCTCGAGGGATTACACATACAGCAGTCGGCAAGCGCGTTTGACAAATGCAACAAGGAAGGACTGGTACGAGGACTGTGGAGAAACCATAAGCACGAGAGGAAGGTTGGTGCTGTCATGTTGAAACACATTCAACAGATTTAGAGGGGTATAAACCTAGGTGAAATTAAATGCGTGGATACGTAAATATTATTAGTCAATGTTGCCAGTGTTGTTAGTCAATTTTCTAATTGTTGGCCACTATCACCAACATTAATAGCCAGTACTTTCATTGTTGGCCAATATTAATGTTGTTTTCCGATGTTGTGGGGCAAGGTCTTCATGGTTGGTTGCTAATGTTAACCAATAGTGTTGGCCAATATTCAAGAGGTCCTTTGTAAGATTTCATTTATCCTGGCTCAAAGTGCATACTGTTTATTTGTTTGTGCAGTTCTTTATGATTATATTTACTTCGTCATTTCGCCATTTATTCTTGTATCCATCGATGAAGGCGTTCGTCTTTGTATTTTTTTTTTTATCACTATCCAATTCCTCTCAGGCTGTACGTCTTGTAGCGGACTTGTGTCTTGACAACAACATAAACGATCCTCAGCTGTGGAACAGTGTTCTTCAGCAGCTTCTGGCTTTTGGAATGGTGAGTTATATTTATCGAGTAGGTCACATTTGAGCTGGACCATTGATACTAGGACAGCCCATGCTTGACTGGTTTGGAAACAAGACTGGAATACTAGGTCGGGGAAGATAAATTTGGGGTTGCTTGTAATGTGCGAATTAAAAAGTATCCTGTTTCCAGACGTTTGATTTCTTTCTTTTTTCTTCTTAGAATGGTATAGGAAAACCTCACACCATTTCTCTTAAAGAAACGTACGAAATGATAGAAAAACCAAACTGAACGAGTCAAACATAGCAAACTTTTTTCAGTTTTCTATTTCCTCGACTTCGTGTTCTCAATCTAATTTCCTGGCTTTAAGATGCTGATTAATATTGACCATGAACTACTCAACAATGTAGTTACAACTTACATGGCTGTCTCTGAAAATCATTCTACCTTTTCTACCTTTTTCAGATAAAATACCTTCGTCGGGTTCTTGTTAACTTAGCTGGGATTTCTGACCTGTGGCAGGTAAGTGTTTGTTGTGATTTTCATCATTAAGTACAAAAATTAACCCTACCTGGTCATTTTGTCATTATTAAGCTTTCTATATTTGAACTTCCAAGGTTCGCTGTTTGCCTCAAGTATGGAGAAGTGTGCTAACAGCCCCCTTCAAATCAGGTTTGTGGTGAAAACATATTTTAGTGCAGAGCTGTAAGCGAGACATTTTTAACTGTTGTGATCGCTTTGGTTTCACCTGCTGAATTCCTTCAAATGCTGAAGCTTCTAAATGACTCAACAACTTTGGCAAGCGTAACTTTGGCGAGCGAGTGCTCAGTATTTTATGGCCGCCATCTTTGATTTTAATGGCAGCGGAAGGCTGGGGAGCGAAAGAAATTTGTACCAAGGAGGCGGTCGATGGTCAAAAGTGAGGAGAGGGGTGAGGGTGGGGGAGTGAAGATTACTTCTCGCCCCTCCCCTGCCCCCTGCCCCCTGCCCCCTGCCCCCTGCCCCCTGCCCCCTGCCCCCTGCCCCCACCGTCCACTCTAACTCCAATTCAAACATGGCCGATCAGATAAACGGTTCCGTTTAATATTAACCGCTCACCCTAATAACACGCCTGCAATGCAGGTTAAGTGACTCTGAGTCCTAACACTGCGAAACAAATGTTCTATTTTCGCTCTCGGTTCTGAGGCCCAAGAAAAGAATTGGACGTGATATTAATTAATCCGATCCTAAAGGGCAAGCTGCATTTCTAATTTCTTACAACCTCTTTTTACCCTTTGACATTCTTACCTGCCTTTTGAACCGGAGGAGTTTGCGGCTGGTATATATTTTCTTTTCCTGTTGCAAGGGGTGTTTAATAAAACAATCCTGAGATGTTAGCTTTGTAACATATGCACCGTGTTTTTGTCTTGTAGTTTCTACACCGTTATCAGAGGAGGAGGTCGCTGCTTGTGAAGAATCTGCATCACTACTACAGAGGTAAAGAAGTCGGTTTGGGTCGAAAACTGAGGTTTCTTCTTTGGCAGTGTCGACAAAAAGATGCTTTATAATCGCATAACGTTTCATCCTTCAAAGGTTTAAGCCGCCTCTCTTTCATTTTATTTTGACCTTTTGCCCATGGAAAGCAATTGTTTACACTTTACAAATTTCAGAAGAAGTATACTAAGATTTTGGAAACGTAATGGACCAGTGTCATGAGCGCTTGACCCTGTTCGAGAGAGTCGTCATTATGAGGTGTTTCAAACAAGTCACTTGACTCTTAAGGTGCTTCTCTCACTTAAATGGCTACCATCAGACTGTCGCATAAGCCTGATTAAATGCAGAAAAGTGGTCATTTACCCTGGGTCAGGTTGTTCAAAGCTGGATGAAGATAACCTCGCGTTAGTGTAAAATTTTATTTCAGATCTGAAAGCTTTAAAAGAAAAGTCAGTTTAAATATTTTTGTCTACAATTTGCTGATGGGATGCTCCAAAAAGAATAGAGAAAATCATCCCAAACAGGCTCTTGAACTGAGAAATAGAGAAACCCGGATCAAAATTTAACTCTGGGTTAGTGCTAATCAGCTTTCGCACAACTGGGCCCCGGACTATAACCCCATCTTGTCTTAGAAGTAGTATACCCTTGTCGCTTTATGCTACTGACCGCCACACCATCCTCCTGATTGAAGTTGATTGTTCCAGAATGAATCAAGTGTTTTGTTTTCAAGCCTATGATCTTTCCTTCTAGATGTCCTATCCTCCTCGACCTTGATGTGTACTCCATCGCAGTGCAGTTCCACAAAGTTGGTCTCCAGGCCCACTCACTGGCCTGTCTCCTGCTAATCCCGTCAAGTAGTGCGCGCGAAAAGCATATTCAGGTTTGATATCAGAGGGTATCTTCACAATTTTCAAGCAACTTTGTGAAGCTATGTTGGTTGGCAATTTTGTTATCGAACTTGGATATAAGTTCATATGGGCCTTAACAATGATATATTTAACACCAAAAGAATCTTCTAAAGAACTGTGCTGCTGTGTCGGTGGAATATATTACACAATAATTTGGTTTTATTAACTGAGTTGATACTTAAAATTGGCCACCGTAGAGAGCTTCTGAAGCTGATGTTTTGAGCGTTAATCCTTCGTCAGAGCGAAGGGCTATCACCAGAGAATTGGGTTGTTTTTTATTGTTTTTAGTGGAGATTTTTTTTTTAAGTCTCCCTTATCATTTTAAACGACGTTTCTCTTTCTTTCATCCCTGTTCAGGCACTGCTGGAGACAAACTGTGTGAATGTTATTCTTGCTCAGTTGGACGAACAACGTCAAAGAGGAAGCACGTTAATCCAACCTGATGCTGTAAGCACTTGTTACTATTGCTACTGGTTTTGTTGTCGTTGTTGAAATTTCTCTCATTAAAAAATTGTGTTCAGATTCCTTTGCGGAAAAAAGAACCCTCTAAAATTTGCCTCGTTCCCAAAGTGTGACTTCGTAACTCAGTTGTTGGTAGCCTCAACTAGTATCTGCGGGGTATGGGTTCGATTGATTACACTGCAGTCCACAAGCTGAGGATCATTTCTTTGTTTATTTTACTCGTCTGCGAAACCTTTTTTCCGTTTTTTCTCTTTTTGCATGACATAAACATTTTCTGTACCAGACAAATAAAATCACAAGAAAAGTTCAAAAGGATGTGTCGTCCAACTTCAATAAGATAAGGCGACCAGACGTTAGACGTTTTATTACCTCACCGTTGGTATTCAAATTTCTTTTTCATTCTTATCGTCCATAGGTTGAACAGGAGGTGTTTAAATATGTCGAACAAAAACAAGAGTATCAGGTACGTGGGAATGATGCTGTGATTTTTAGTGAGACGACAACCTAGTCATTGACTTCGAATTCTCGAAATTTCTTGTTTTGCTTTTAGATACTCCTCGGTACAGCTTATTTTGACAAATTGCTTAAATTCCTTATCATGGGCAAAAACATTAACGGGATTCTACTCAAGACAATACAAGCTGGCAGGTAATTGATATAATACTACTAGTAACTTCATTGAAATGACTAATGGACATTAAGGACTTGATGTCTTTTCTTTATAAACACGATAACAGTGACATAATAAAACGATATATCTTAAACATTAAAGCCGGCGACTCCGATAGCTGCGATCGGCGGAAATCGCCAGGTGTGCCCGATGCGGTGATTGCGATTTCGCCGATAACTTTATCCTTGATGTGTCATCTTGTCCAAAAACTAACACTCCACTTTCTGAAGAAACGCCCTTGTCAAGGTTCGTTAAAAAGGGTTCAACCCTTTCGTTGCCAGTACCTATATATAAATTCTATCACCATACTTTTTTATGCTGTTAGCTCTGAGAACCTGGTGTTCAATCTAGCAATGTCCCCCTATTTTATAATTTTCAGTTCAAGGGTATCTCTTTTTTGGAGCATCAATCTATTTCAGCAAATGTTTGAGAATTGGGAATTGAAATGTTTGTAATACTGTGTATCAACTGAGGTCTGAACTAAGACATTCACTGCATTGCTATTCGTGAGGTAGACCTTTCAGCCCTCATTCTAGATATTTCTCCATATTAGGTAAGAGTTACTTCGCCCTCGCTGTCAAGCAGAGCAAATTCTTTTGTTATATGTTAATGTCATCACCAACCCTAGGAGAAATAAAAATAGTTTCCAACGAGCAGTAAACTTAAATTTTTCTTTTCTTCTTGGCTGCAATTTCTTCGTTTCAGGTTGGAAAATGCAATACAACTTGTCCAACTTTTTCACCAAGCGCACCTTGATATGCCGTCGGCACAGTATATAACATCTCACCAGATGAAAGGGTTTGACGAACTATGGGTAAGACGTGTTCTTTTAAGTATGAGACAAAAATGGTGCTCCCTTTCTCCCGGTGGCTTTGTTATCAAAAATTTTTTTCCTTCAACGGAAATCAGCTAGGAATATATCTCTTTTTGGAGTGCCTACGCACCCCGAGTGTGAGTCTAGTCATCAGCCGGTGCCGCAGAAAATTAACCTTTGAAGGTACTTCTCTCGCACTCAGTTAAAAGGATTGTCAGTGTAAGTGCTTAAGAAATCTTTTTTACGACTCCGTTTGCCTCAGCTTCAATGGTTTCATTTGTGTACTTCACAGTTTTTTACAGCCTACCATCCAACTACCTACTCTTGTAGGAACGCAGATAGACATGCCAATTTTCACTAGAAAATGGAACGCAGTAAGATTCTACTTGAATTTGTTTTGTTAAGTGTCATGACATGTTTTTCCCATCTTCCCTACAGACGTTTCTGGAGATGCACGGGATGTTAGACGCCTGTCTACCATTTCTTCCCAAGTTAGATGCTGACCAAAAGGATGATGAGCCTGCAGGGCACCAGACCCAGTCCTTTTGGGTTCAAGAAGGGGAAGAAACAATTGGACAAACAATGGAACAAAGTGCTATCGATGATCAGCGTGACCACTTTATGTTAACGCTGACAGATTGCAGCATGGAGGTCCCGCTGTAACAAGGGAACCAATAGTACCTGTTAGTCATTTCTGCGTAAGCGTGGTTGAAAATGGATACTAAAACAATGCAATAGAAGTTATGTAGAAAATTGTGGAGTGCAATATATTCTAAGATATCTTTAGACAGATTAAAAAGGTACCTTTCGAACGTTGCATCATAATTCATTATCCGATTCCAGGAAACGAGCAAGGAACTTCAAGTAAAGCCTTGTCGTATTTGCTTCCTTCAGGTTTTTTTTAAATGATGGGCACTGGTTGAATTTAGGTAGAATCATTATTGTTCGCCTCCCAAAACAACATTTCTTAATTTCGTTCAGGTGACCCGGTAGGAGTAGTGGCATTGTTATCCATTTTTCGCGAGATCTCGCCATTCCTTTCGCCCAGTTATAACCAAAAAACGACACACTTTCAATTTACTGTATTCTTCAAGCCTGTTTTTATTTATTGCAACAAAATATGAAATACCCACAAATGGGTTTTCCTCAATAAATATCGATGACGGTATATTTACAGCCACGATTGGAAGTATAAAATATACTTGTTTCAAAAATAGTCGATGGTCAACTTTTAAATATATTATTACCACGTTTTTCATTTTATCGTCGTGAGAAAGATTTTGTTCCCCAGTATCAAATGGTACTATTAAGTATTACTTGTCCAGCAAATATGTACAAAACCTTAGCAATAAATACTCTGACGATTTCTAATTAAAATCATTTTGCTGACTTGATCACGATTTTTACAAAAAATCTTGCACTCGATTTGGGGAGAATTTCTGTGTAAAATGATATGGCAAAATAATAATAATTTCATAATAATTTATGAATGATCGAGATCATTCTACACTGAACCAATGAGGCTAGCGCAACAAGTGATCAGAAGTGATCAAATTCTTCTTACTGATCAATTATTTGATCAGTGATCAAATTCTTCTTACCAATTTACAATGAAATGTATGGTAGCTGGATGGGAGAACTACTAATCAAATCTTAAGAGTGAAACGGGTTGATGACGTAATGAGTGAATGATTTGTGGATTTTGAAGGGGCATTCAGGTCACTGGAGAAAACTTAACCTCTTCGGTGTAAAGACGAAAAAATGAATGTTGTATGTGCGGGGTGTGTACGAGTGTTTACTGCGAACTCTTAATCAAGGAAAGCCAATTGCATTACCAAATGGCAGAAACGATTTCAGAGAAACCCACTATAAAAATATATATCTCCAATTGGTAATTTCACATGCCTTACAAATTCAAATTGGTTATGGTAACTACCACAACAGCGCTTACATAACAGCACATAAAGCACTAGTGATTTTCTCTGTTCCCATCTTGTGCCTTCCATCGCCGTTGTCTTTACCTTTCTTGCCCAACGATCCTTTAGAGCTTTTTGCTGCCGACTCCTTCGTTCCCTTTCCTGAGTCTGAGCTACTGGTGATTTTAGTTCCGAGTGAATCGTTCGAAGAAAACCGGCGGGGCTTTACACCCGCGGATGTTGAAGTTGACGACCCCGGGGCCGGAGCTACTGATCGAGAAGGGCGGATAATCCGGGAATTCCGCGCGCTGCGCATGTCTTGTGTGGTCTTCCGCATTATCTCGTCCACCGAGACACTGTCTGCACCCAACTCGGCCGACTTTCTTGCTAGGTCTAATTGTGTTTCCAAGTGCTTCGTTCTCTGTTGTAGGCGTTTGTTTTCATTTTCTGAAGCTTCCAACTGCAACAAATCCATAACCACAAATAGAAAAAAAATAGCTTAAGTAAGTACAAAAATTGGTGCATTCGACTGAAGCCATAAATGCCTACTTCACAAAACAAAATATTTATGGAAACAATGCGTAAGCAAAGTACATTTCAGAGAATTACTTTTGTTACCTTTTCTTTTAATACGTTAAGTTCATCGTCTTTATTCTCACAGCTTTTTTTCAGACTGAACAGTTCCTCAAGCAGTTGTCGATTTTGAGATTTTAGTTCCTCAATCCTAAAATCTACTCCTTTACCAGACACGCTTGCTCGACTGGTGCTCCTAGAAAATAAGAGAAATAACAAGTAATGCCTTAGTTTCGTTAATAATAATATGATTCCTAAAGCAATCTCTTGTGTTATATACCTGACTCTCGTAGGAGGAGTGGACACTGCGATGCTTTCTTCAGAGCTTTGATGCACAAGATGATGCTTATCAGTTAACTTTGCCTTTTTGGACTCTAGTTCCTTGGCCAGGGTATCCAATTCCTAGAACACAAAATAACATATCATTTATCTGCTACAGTCAAACACAATTTAGAAGCCAGCTGCTCAGAGATGAACATATGGTATCGTTCATCAGCGTCAAGACGGCCGCCAGCAGAAAAAAAAGAGAGCAACAGTACACAGTACACGTACCTAACGGTATACACATCTTTAAACATTTATCCCATTATCTTAAGTTTGTCATTTGCAATCTGTTTTAAACTCCAACATCCCTACTTATCGTTGTTTCTCTTGGTTTTTATATCGCCTACTACTCTACTCATTTACAATCCAGGTCAATCTTCTCCATCCTTAGTCATCCCTCTTCCTTGTTGGTTTATTACTGCTTCTTTGGCGTTTTTCTATCTCACCGAACTGATATTTTGTACTCATTTCCAATCCGTGTCAATTTTTTTTCATCTTAAGCCATCCTTCTTTCTTGTTGTTTTACAAATGCCTCTTTTGCGTTTTTCTATCTTACTGAACTAATATTTTGGGTTTTCCTTAAACTGGAAAATAGTCTTTCACGGTGCACAAAAATATGGCAAAATATCGCGACTCAAACTGGTTATCTGTTCCTTAACCCTTATTGTTTGATGGACCAAAAAGTACATACATCTTCTTTACTTCTTTCGACAATAGTTTCCTACAACTCCTTTTTCTCAACACTGCCCGTGAACTTAACCACACAAATACTGCGGAATCTTACAACACAATCAATAGCAATTATATACGCCTGTAACTTCCAAAAAAAAGCCTGTGATTCCGGCACCTCCCCCCACCAACCCGAACTTCCCAAGACCTTCCCCTCTACACGACGATCCCAAAAGTATTCACATGTATTACCATTAAATTACACAGAAATGTGAGAAACGAAATGATTACTAACGTTTTGAAGAACATTTAAATCTTCTTCTTTGCCGTTGCAGACAGCATGGCGACGATTTAAGTATTCTTCATACTCCCGAATCTGTATGAACAACAAAAAACCAGTGATTAAATAAACAACACAATTTCAAAAGAAACAGTCAACCGGGACCATAATTTATTGGATGGAAAATTCAATGGCTTATTTAAGGGCAAAACCAAAAAAAAAAAAACAAAAACGGCAACTGCTTAAATATCACGTGTGGGCTGATTTTATTCCGAGGTTTAACTTTAAGATCAATAAAAAGTGCTGAGTATTTTTTGCAGATTACGCAAAATGGCGTCGGACATGAACATAGCTCCGATTCGTGATCAACGACCAATTTTCCTTTCTTCAGAAAGAGTTTGGTGTAAAATACTCTACCTCTTTGTCCCTATCTCGAACTTCCTGTGCTCGCTGCTTGAGGTCCTTCTCCATCTGAGATATTGCTGACTGTTTTAAAAAGATTAAGAAAAATAAGATCATTATCAAAGGCTGACCTATTGGAACATCAACAGTACTCCGAAAACTGTTGTTGTTCACTCAATTGCAATTATTATTCTACAATAAAATAAACGGGAAACACAAAATGTACACGTACATGTATTAATATTGAAGACATCTTCCATTTTTTTTTTAAATTTTCGGTGCTTATTTGAATTTCACGTGTGTTCAGAATTAGGTACAATACATGTAAATAAGCTTAATCATTTCCTTTGCATTGTACCTCGTGTTCATAATATCTCTGTCTTCTCTCCTCTAGCTTTTTCTCATTTCTAAATTCTTCAAGTTCCTCTTCAAATTTTCTCCTAAAATAGAAATAACAATAATATTAAGAATGGATAAAACAAAATCATTCGATGAAACCCAATAAGCAATACATACATTTGGCAGTTTACCGTGCTTAAAGAGAAAGTTGCTGAAACTACTGGATGCCAGGACGAAACCAAAAAGAAAAGAGATATTTTATGCATCTATCACAAGCAAGAGACGAGCAAGAAAAACATATGTGACCTCTTTAAGGAATCCAAATTCCCCTGATTTACAGAAAACTACAGTGCTGCACTAAAGCAAGTTAAAAGTATCTCGATCCTCGAGAATTGAGGCTCGAGTCGAGTTTCGAGACTTTCGAGACGGAATAACAAGTGTAGGTTCATATGTTATTTTGATTTCTATCGTAGAACAAAGAAAAATGTTACTCATTTGTTACGAACGTGCGAAACGTGCGTAAACCAGAACAGAACATCGATGGTCTACGATTTAGTATATTGGTAAAGGTTACAAGTAAAATTGAACTTAAACCAAAAAAAATCAAGATACAGGAAAACGACTTGCTTCCTTAATGCAGACAATCACTTAAGTGAATTATTTGATTGACCACATAGCACAATATTTTAAGTTCATACTTTTTTTCCTCTCTTCGTCGATCAATGTCCTCCATTTCCGTCATGTACTGCCTTCTTCTCGCTTCTAATTCCTTTTCAAGCTTGTCCATCTGCGCAAGGCAAATTACAACCAACTTTTAACCCTTTAACTCCCAGATTAAATTTGTAATTCTCCTAAATGTTAACCTTACAATTCTTCTAATGTCAGTTCAGAGAAGTTAGTATTGGATCAACTTATTATCCCCAAATTGAAATATTTTCTTTATTCTTATCACTTATCTGTTGACATTGTAATGATATTGTAAGGAGAAATTCTGTCTTGGTCACTCATGGGAGTTGAAGGGTTAAAGAGCGACACAATATTTGAACCATCTTTGTTCCTCACACTTTTTCTCAAAAGATAGAATTTTGTTACAGATGGCGAGGGGGTGGGTGTGAAAAACGTGCACCACCACCCCCCACCCCCCCATCTCGCACATCACACTTTCAAACTTACTATTGTACTAAGTTCGCGTTTTTGTTTACATGGAAACAACTACTTAAAACCAGGATACTCCAGATTGATTTACGTCTAATGCCAAACAAAGATTACAAAGAATTACACCCGTAACAAAGAGGGGAAAAAGCTCTCCTGACGACACGTTCCTCTGTTCGAGCTCTCAATCTCAAGTCTTGGGATAAACCACATTATGATTCCTACAACTTGATTTCTCCCAAAAATAAACACTGACCCCATTCAAACCAAAAGCTTACACACGTTTTTTGTCAACCACGATTTTAAAATTGTTTCCTTCATAGAAGCTAGTCAAACCGAAGTTTGACGGCTTTAATGCAGCATATTGAAATATAAAAGTTAGCGACTACTTGAATCCAATAGAAAATTCAGTTTTTCAGTTCCCTGTTCCTGCTTTTCATTTAGTTAAACCCGGTTAACCAGACAAGTTTTACTGATGAGAATTGGGTAAGTCACCCATACCAAAGGACTTCCTCCTTTCATATACTAGTCGAGAAACTTAACTTGGCCTCTCGAGCGTGAACCTACAAGCTACATGATACAACATGAGAAACGTTAATTTTCATGACAAACCTCTTGCCTATTTTCATCTCTGGCCTCCGTCATTCTGCTGTTTAAATCAGACATTTCTTTCTCAACAGAGTCTTGTTTTGCTTTAAGAGATGACTCCAACTGAAAAACCTATTGTGATAAACCAAAATCAAAAAGATATTGCGTGTCCATTAATAAGGCCGATTATATTTTGTTATACAAGTATAAAAATCATACCTTAATCTGCTACAAAGCGCGCGCAAGTCCCATGTAACTCCTAATGAGCTACTGTGGTTTATATCTCTAATTATTCCACTATTACGCCACTTTACCATATTGGGGCATCGAAGCGCGCAAAACATGCCACGGTATTACACTGTAGAACATGGCAAAAAATACGGACGGAAAGCGGAGCAACAAAATGGCCCGTACTGTACGACCCCAATCTTTTCTTTTCGAGAAACGAGCTTTCAAGCGCATCAGATTTTTTCATTTGTTAGTAGAGAACACACATAACTGACCCTACAATGATTTGTGTTTTTTCTGTCTTCGCCCACGACTTATGCGATTGATACGATAGTCAGATAAAGTCGTAAGAAGTATTTGCAAACACAGTGGGAGTTAAAATACTAGAACATGATCCAATAGTGGAATAATAAAATGTTTGTTCGATGGTTTAACATATAATACGAGCAAACATACTACTCGTTGCTCGGAAAAATACAATGCACGCACAAAATATTCGCGGTACGCAATTTTCTGGCCGTGAATTCTAGTGAACAACGATTCAAGCACGGTCGCTCTATGCAGGTCTCGTACATACAAAAGATTCGTACGGTAGATCTGCTCTCGGCTTTGGCTCCAGTAACCCTCATGCTTCTCTCGTGCTCTCCAAACTTACCGTGTGCATCCATAACTCGACATTTGCACTCTAAGAATGTACCAACTGTTAAAGAGATGTCAATGAAATACCACAATTTCTCCTTGGTCTCATACGGATACCTCCAACTAACCGTATCAGAGATCCGTTCTGTAAGTTACGAACTGATATTTTTTTTCGCTCATGACGTGTGATTTTGTCTCTTCGGCTACCCGGAGGTGAATAGTGATTGCTAATCACTTCTAAATTAACCAATCAGCAGGTTGAAAAAGCACTATTTGCCTGTGCGGCATTTAACAACTATTCACCGAAGTGGAGGTAGCTAGATGTTTACCGAGGCGCGCAGCGGCAAGGCAAATATCTTCGCTAACCAATAGTACCGCACAAAAAAAATTATTTTAACTCATTTATTCCAGCAACGATTATGTTTTTGGGCACAAATCCCGCGCATGTAGCTCGGAGGTAAATAGCAAAGGATATTCGGGTTCTGAGCAGCCAATCAGGGCGCGCCTTCAACGCTTTCCACTGTTTTAGTATATATTTAATACTGGTATCCAAAATTTTAATTGTATGCCATGTAATATTCTCTGCTTCTAACAAAACCTGTCCAATACCTGTCAAAATAACAGCAAAATCTACCTTCAATTTGAACGACACATAAAAAAGCGAGAGAGGAAACAACCTAATATTTTTCACCAGTCACAAATTACGACAAAGCTCCTTTAACTAACCAGAGATAACTACGAAAAGCTTAACTCTCACCTGTGCTTTAAGGCCTATCAATCTCGTATCATCATTTAGCTTATTGTTCTTGATATCATGAAGCTCAAATGTTCCATTCAAAAGCTTTTCTCCTACTTTGTTACTAATGCCATTGACAAACGGTGAGTCTGTTGTTCCATTAATCTTGGTTGACTTCAAGCTAGAGCTTGAATAATTTCCATTGTTATTGGTTTCTGACGGGCAATTACTCTTATCGACAAGAAATCCAATGTTAGGCTTAGAATCATCTTCACTTGATTCAGGATCATTGTGATCATCACCCTCCTCCTCATCATCATCATCCTCGTCGTCGTCATCATCATCATCAGTGTCATCATTGTCATCATCATTACTATCATTTTCATCATATCCGTAATCCACAAAATTAATATTGCTCATAAGATTATGGCTGTCAGTATCATCGTCTGAAGTTTGAGAGTAGCTGTAGGAGTATTCTTGGTTTCTCTCCATGTTAAAACGTACTTGTTTCTTAGCTGGAGTGTCCTGTTCAATGATATATTTAATAAAATAATCATAATCTATATTGTTTAAAATTGTGATCAGATTCCTCTGCAGGATGGAAGAACCGTCTAAAAATTTGCATCACTCCCAATGTGAAGCCTTGTAGCTCAGTAGGTGAGTAGTGTCAAAATGAAAGACACAGGTTTGAATCCTTTTAAATTCCCCAGAATTTATTCAGGCTTCTTCCTAAAAATGCTTAAATTGCAGTGTAAATGCACAAATTGTAGCACAAATGCTTAAATTGCAGCATACATGCAAGGATCATTGCTCATCCAATAATTTTAAGATGAGCTGGAGCATAGTCTCAGCAATCAGCAGAGCTGATGCTGGTGCTACAGATAATTGTATCTGTGAAGCAAAAGGCTTTGGCAAACAAAATGAATAAGGGCCCTAACATTACATACTGTTCACACAAATCTAGTAGCAATTGTCTTTCCCTAAAAAAATGTCATTCAGAAATACAATATACCATAGAATTTGCAAAATTATCAAGCTGTTAGCCACTTTTGATTCATCTTGATTACCTTTCGAAAACCATTTTTTGAGCTGTGTATTTTATCTGCTTCTTCCAGTAACATTTCCAAGTTGGAATCGGAAGAACACTGTAGAACAGGATAACAAGAAAGACAATCAATGGTGCAAGATGTTAAAAATCATGTCAATCCATAATTAGTTATCAAGCCTCAGACCCACTATTGGAATCCTTAAAAAAAAATGGGGTTCAACACAGGCTGGGTTAATCTTATTCTAAATGGAGGTATATCCAAATAATAATGGAAAAGGATACACCTGAGATTTGAAAATCAAATCATCACTTCCAAAAAAAGGCAACTCTGTGAAATAAGTCCTTACTGGTTTTGTATCTAACATTCTCAAACTCATTAATAATTCATGCTGAGAAAACAAAGGAAATTACAACCGTGAAGGAGGTTTGGATATGTGATCTTAATTATCATAAAATCTGGTGAAGTTTTGCTTTGATTTTCTCCAAGAATTATTAATGGTTTGAGAAGCTATATCAAACATTCAAAAGGGTGTTTCATCCGATATCCAAACACCTTGAAGTTGGTTAAAAAAAACTCGGCTGCACCTCGTTTTCTCAACCACTTCTCGGTGTTTGGATATCGGATGAAACACTCTTCCTCGTGTTTGATATATTACGTCAAGGAGAATCTATAACTACAACAAATGCATCATGGATAGGACAGTCTACCTATATGAGATACAACTAAAGCACATGTGATACAGATAAGGAGATCATCCAGCCTCATCCCACACTAACCTCTGATGAAGAACGATTCTGTCGTCCAAGAAATTCCAAGTCGCCATTAAGGAGAGGCTTGTGATTTTTAACAACTGGTTCTTTCACTATTCCATGAGTTGCCTTGCCAAGAGCCTGTCAGAAATCAAACATATTTTATTAACAATTCCCTTAACTACACCCTCTATTTAACATCAATGGTGACAAAAGTAACATGATTTAAGGTGACATTGATTTTTTGACATCCTGCCTGTGAGTTTGCCTAGATTTTTGTATGATTGTGAAAGTATTTTTCCTGACATTTTATGAGGCATTTGTAACCTGTTGACATGAATGAGATAATCTATCAGGGGCATGGCCAGGATTTTTCAAAAGGGGGGTCTCATTGTCAAACTGAGGGTTATCACCAGTTTTTGCCACCTGATTATTGTAGGTAGTTTGCGTAAAAAAAACACAAAGGGGGGGTTACAGGTACCACCCCTAACTACGCCCTTCTCTAATGCAAGCAGACATATATGTTCCCTTGTACAGTTAATTAACACTTAAGACAGAGAGTATTTAGAAAGAAACAGAAATAACTAAATGTCAGCCTGATATTGGCCAATAATATAGATTTTTGTACAAGTAAATTGCATCCAGAGTTTACAAACAGCTTCAAACAAAATGGCAATCACAATAATAAATTTGGCAGATATATGTATTGTCAACCTTAGATTTTTAATCTAATGATTGCAAGAAAATCATGAGCTCAAGATCTTGTGATAGTCAATAAGTGTGTCCATCCTCGTCAACCTCCACACAAAGAAATTCAGAGCAAATAATCTTATTGTTGAAGTCTACATCTACAAGTTATTCATAACTCAACAACAAAACAAGCTCATGTATTTATTTCATAACTAAGCTGCTCACTCTTCTCAAATGAATATTCATCATGGAGCAAACAGAGAGAAGCACAGGCAACCAGACTGCAGTATGTTTTATAGGGCACTAATACAGTTATACTAACAACTGTAATTATCACTATGTTGCGTGTTGTGGTACATTTTGTGAACCACAATAAAGATTTTGACAGGCTAAAATGTCATTTAGCCTGCTTGCACAAGCATATGATTGTTTACATTGTGTTGTTGACATTTTTTTCAGTTTATAATTGCTCCACACCTGCCAAGATGATAATAATAGTAATACAGTTTACAGCATGTTCTTGGGCATAAATATGTTTTGATCCCTTTCAGAGTCATTTTCACCCTTGCTGAGTTGGGCCCAAACACATCAACACCCACGAACATAAACTCTAACCATTGCTTCAATAAAGGGACTAAGTCTCTAAAGAAACTGTGGTGTTGTGTCAGTGGGAGAGTATAGCAGGTAATTTAGTGTAAACAACTGAGTTGAAAATGTAGATTTGCCACCATTAAGGGTAAAGAAAGCTGACATTTCAAGTGTTAGCCCTTCGTCAGAGTGATTCACCGAAGGCTAACTCTCAAAACATCAGCTTTTTTACCCTTTACAGTAGCCAATTTACGTTTTAAACTCAGTTGTAAACACTAGATTACCTGCTATTGTTTTAATACCTGTATTTGTTTAGTTGAGATGAAAATAGCACATGAGAAAAGCTCAAACAGGTAGACTAATAGAGAAAGACAAGTGGAGTATAAGGTTGTGAGCACAATTTGTACCTTACAAATGTAATTTATTAATTGACTAAAGTTTTTCAGTTTATTTCAAGGCGCAAAAAGAAATTATAGACAACTCACGTCAAAATCTGTATTCACTCTCTGAATAGATGATACAATAATAAATTTTGCAAAAGTTGAAATGGAAATCAAATGAGATTCTTGAAGTTTTCAAACAAAACAAGCCTCTTTCGTAGCATTGTTTCCCCAGACATCTGTGTGGCAAATCTTTTGTTTATAATCTGTCTCGCAGAGTTGTCAACGATTTATCTCTGTCAGGTCATTCACTCGGGCAAATTAAATTTCATGCCATAAAAGCGTTTCAAGCGATGAGAAATTTGTAAAAACTTTCAAATAATGACAATAAAACGCTAAAAATTGCTGCCTATGCAAAAAAAGCCCATAAATCCAACTTCTGAGGGCTTTGGAAGATAAATTATGAGGGTTTTATTACATAGCACTTAGATTCAGAAGTTAAATTTGCGTCAAGAACAATGACTGTTTCGAGAATTAGCATGACAAAACAATTGGCTCGTCCTAAGCAACTTCAGTGGAGGATTAAACGGAGGATTTCGTTGCTATTATGACACAAACTTTCAATTTTTGATATAGAGACTTGTTTCAATTGTCTCTTAAGGCTGATATAATGGATGTACGCCAAATCAAATACTTAGAATACGCTAGTAATTGTGGTGTGACACAAAAACCTGAAGCTCAAATCAAGGGCAATGTTTATAGCGTCAACAAAAAAATATTAGAGACCTTTTAGTTTTATTAACAGTAAAATGAGGCGGCATTCGATGCGACAACATTTTTCACAATGAAAAAATCACCTTCAGTTAATCAAAAAACGATTTTGATCTCACAGCATTATTATTTTACAAGTTAAAAATCGTTCATAAATGCAAACAAGGATTAATCGCGGATTCATCTGCGAAAGCGACATGACACTTTAGTTTTCGCGATTAATTTAGCTTCCATCATTCATTTTGTCGGATAAGGTGGGCATCTGTTGGGAGTTTTCTACTATAATGATCGCGATAAGCGAAAAAGGTAAGGTACTACATGAAATTACAACATCTTAAACTATCTTCCCAACGACGATCGATCCGAGTTCTCAGAGACGAATAATTTCCGAAAGCCGCACCAACACATCGAAATTCACGACCACTTTATGGGTTTCCCGGGAGAGTAATAAAAGAAATATTATAATAAATGGCTTAGTAACACAAAAAACTCACGATAAGCAACAGGAGTAGATTTCGAGTGACAATAACGCTTTCTTCAGTACCGTACGAGCGATTGAATCAAGGCCGACGCATACCACGGTTGCCCCTCATAAAATTATCACAGGAAATTTCACATTGGGTTGGCAACGAGCACATTCAATTTAATCACATACCTGACTATAGTCTGCTTTCCTTTCCATTAAAACTTGAGTCATTTCTACCATGTTGAGCGCAAGTTTACCCCATTATAGCCGGGCGATAACTTGACAAATGACCTCTCGTTCGCCAAGTGATCTTACACGAAGTAGTGGAACGTCGAGAGTATTGATGGATCACCATGGAAACAAGATTGACATTTTAAAGATGACTGCAGCTACACGTTTAAAGAAATGTATAACTCGATCTTGAGCGTTAGCAATTTTAAAAGCACTTTCTTGAGTTACAGAACTCATTCTGAAATCTAAAATCACTCCTTCAAATCACAAAACACTTCAATAAGCTACAAAACACGTTCAAAACTTACCGTACACCATTCCAGGAATCGAAAACACCCCGTAAATATTTAACAAAACACTTCCATAAGTAAATATTCATGAGACCCTTGCACAAATTACAAAACTATTCTATTGATATTGAGCATGCATGCCCGTTTAAGACGAAGCACCTGTCAAAAGTTCCACAAAAGAGAAACACTAACATGTTTTGATCTATGGTAGTTTTTCAAAATGTGGAAGCGTTTGTGAGATCGTTGAGCCGTTTTGGATTCAGGTTAACCCTCTCGTTGACTCATATGAGTGATAAGCATCTATTTTCTCCTTACAACATCACCGCTAACTGAAACATTCAGGTCACAAGAATAAAGGAAATGATCACCAACTAAAGAAGCTCTTGATCGTTGAACAAATTCTCCTTGTCAGCACCTTAGGAAATGTATAGAGAAAAGTATGGAGATTATACATACTGATGTTAGGGTGTTAAGGGTGAAAGTGTTCTCGAGGTGGGTCTTAGTTTCCAACCCCTGGTTACCAAACGGGCTTTGCTCGTATCAGATCCCTGTTATACTTAAAGTAGACAACATAAATAAATCGTTCGGCAGGAATAGGAAAGAGGACCAGAAATCAACGTGGCCCAGTCAAAGGAAATGGATTAAGACAATTTTATAAAGATGAGTTCCAGCTATTACATAAAAGATCATGTATAACATATTAAAAGTATGAGATGAATTTAGTCGTAAATTCATGTCCTACGAGCCCGGGTCCGTAAGGGACCGTGGGAAAAATGGTAACATGACCAATTTCCTGTGATTTGGGTAGGTAGATACAGAAACTTCCGAGACAGTCAGACCCCCCCCCCCCTTCCCCTCAGTAATTCACAAGTGATACAACATAGCATTCCGTAGAATTATTTTTGAGGTCAATATTCCTTAAAAAGAGTCATCACCTTTTATACTAGGTTTTAGTATGGCCCCCACTGGTAACCTTTATTTTCTTTCCCTTTCTTATCTGCTGGACATGAACGAGTAAAAATGAGAGAAAGAAGGAAGCCACGGCCTGCTCACTAACTCCAACCCCCTCCCCTGTCTTAAAAAACCACCCTTGGACAGGACTTAATTATCTTGAAGAATATAGGAACATAATGTAATAATAGAATGGAAAGAATTTTACGAAGACCAGACAACTTTATGAGTACATGACATGTATACTTAAAGGGAGTAGGGGAGTAGTAAGTCGGAAAGGGGTTGTACAGGGTACGCAGTTGAAAAGCAAAGAACGAATTGAGAATTTGGGGGGTCAGGGGGTACTAAGGAAGAAGGAATCCCCTAGGAGACACTTAAATGCATTTAACGAGTGACTGACCCAAAACCGATTAAATGAGACACAAGTGCTGTAGGTATAGTCAGGTGCAAGCGAGAGTGGTTTTCTGAAATTTTTTTTAGCCCTCTAATGACAACCAAAATGAAATTAGAGTAATTAAGTGTTATCAACTGAGTTGATAATGTAAATTGGCCACGTTTCGAGTGTTAGCCCTCCGTCAGAGCGATTGAGGAAGGACTTCCGCTCAAAACGTCAGCTTTTAAACTCTTTACTGAGGCCAATTTACGCTACCAACTCAGTTGATAATACTAGATTACCCTCTGTAATTTTTACGATGGAAAACATGCTTCGTTGTATTAAAGTATTCGAACAGAAACAGGTGCCGACAATTCTCAGTTAAAACATAACAGCACTAACACCAAATATACCAAATCTAGCTGCAGAGAATAGATTATTAATATGTTATAACAAAATTGAGGAGAACACTGAATCGTAGACGAAACAATAAGACCCCCGCAAATATTGGCCAGATGAATTTTTCGACGGTAATAAGGAAAGCTGTAAAGTTTTATGACTTAGTTGTAATGGTCTGAAGTGAAAGTGAGTCCGTGAGACACTTCAATGAAATATTAGTAAAGCTCCGTCTTTTTCGTCCTATTTCCTTTTTTATTTTGAATGTCAACGAGATGTCGCTTGAATCTCCAAAAACGAATGCCAGCCATACTACCCACTCCAAAAACAGGCAGTGAGGCCAAAAATTTTGAACTCAAGGTAATATTATATAAAGGGCCTTTTTGCCTGGCGAACTTGTTTTTTTTTTTTGGGCGACCATTTTATAATGTAAGGTCACCAAATGGTGACTTAAAAATATTGGGCTTGGAGACCTGCACGATCCTGAAGTGAACTCTTTCCTTCCTTTCGGCTTTTGTGCGTTACGTTTATCTTTGTTTCTACAGTTTTGAGAAAACTTTATGGATTAAGCTTTGCTTCAAAAAGACTCTTTACAAGGAAATAGTAATTACCCCATAACATCTTTTACTTACAGTAAAGTGAGCACAAACATTCCACCGTGAAGGCTCGGACACAATTTTTTTTGGTAAGAATTACTCTATCTTTAAAAAAAGTACTACATACTTATTTATCATTCGCATAACATTGCTCCTAATTTAGTATCCAAAGTAATTTCCCAAGGTTAAGAATAGGTCTTTTTCCATATAACACCAGGCGAGGCTCGCATATCTGTTGTGAATTTAAAGCTTTCCTGAGGGTGGAGTTTGTTTTCAGATCTTTTTCATCATAAATCACTTTGGTGAAGACGGATGAAAGATCGATATTAATGCTTTTCTATAGTTATTTTAAAAAAAGTCTCACAGGAAGTTGATAGACCATATGGGTTTGCCTCAATGATTGAATGCCGTGGCTCCGGATAATTTCAACAAGACTTAATAAGAGGAAGGAATATATAAGAGATGGTACCACAACAAGCCAGTAATTTCCACTTGTAAGGGGAAACAAAGTTCATGTAATCGGATACAAATTCTCAGACTTATATCATCCGTTCATAACTAAGAGTCGGCTCAGATAGTATTCACCTTCACATAAAAATTTCTTGGTAACACCAGTTCATCTGATTTGCATATTAAAATGGTTAGTTTTCGCAAAGTGAGATCAACTACTTTCATGATCTTTAAAGTGATAAAGGTCAGCTTAAAAAGTGCATGTTTATCTTCACACAGTATGTTTTTGTTATTCCATCTATTTTGATTCCTACCAACATCTTTAAATACCATATCGTTCTTTTTATGGCTCTTTATCGGTAAAGCATCTTTGATCAAACATTCTTTGAAATAAACTAATTATGAAAAAGGAAACTTTCTATAATCAGTCTCGTAAGGTTACAACCAACTTTTTTCGCAAATAATCTAGAAAATTCCTCCAAGAGTATATGTGGTCCTAATTTTATCTTCAAGTCACAATTATGGATCCAAGATCAAGATTATTAATACACAAACCACCAGCGAAGATGAGAATGATTGATTAGGGACGAATGCTTTATTTTGTCTCTTCCCTTCCAATTAAACGCTAAAAGTTTCTTGTTTATGTCTTTGATATGTATGGCGCGTTTATTAATTGATAATAAAAATAATTAAAACATATTTGTAGAGAACTGCTGTTTCAGGCCTGTTTCATGGAGGTTCTGTTGAACAAAGAAAAAAAACAAAGAAAAAATAAAATGAAAAGCCAAAACCATCTCAAGAGGCAAGTCGCAATCTAAAGAATTCTCAAAATTGTTTCTCCTTTACGATAATTAAAGAACACACTCGGTGCACTCTAAAATTAACCGTCTCAAGGTGAGGCATCATGCAGATTTTGCCGTTCACGTAGACTTGATTTTCGACCGAAAGCAAACGATTTCAAAATCCTAATCGTACCCAAAAGGTTAGAATTCAAAATTCAATACCTCAACTCGTTTCGGAAGTATTGAATCATGAGGTAGGCTTTTCAATGACATGTTTGCGTTATTATAACCAAAATCTACACTCAGAATTTGGATCTTTCGTAAACAGATAAAATGTCAATGGAAATTTTCTCGCTCACCGATTTTCCTCAGACTTAATCTTAAAAAAAAAAGTTTTCCCCATCTCTGACATTACGACCGGGCACACAGAGCAATTTTCCCATCAGAGTTGGTTTTATTTGATATCAACGAAAGCGACAATTTCTAGTCGTCTTCCCAAGTGAAATATCCTGCATCGATATTTTTATTTTGCCGGATGCTGCAAGCAAAGTTTCTAGTTCCAATGTGAAAGAAAGAAGGAATAATGGATCATCCTAAAGAACTCCACAGCTAACTTGAAAATAATCCGTTCTGAATCGTTTATTTTTTGATACAACTAAGGAAATTTGAATAGAAGGTGAAGTTGCAATGGTGAGCGAAGGACCGCGAAATGGCAGGCGTCGAGATCCGTAAGAAGGAAGATATAATTAACAGAATCATATCCTTATTATGAGTCAAAAGCAAATGAGAGTTTCAAGTGGGTCATTTATTTTTTTTTGTCTTCTCTCTATTTTTTATCTTTTTTTCATTTGTAACTCTCTATTTCGTACATGAAACTTTATCATCGGGCAATAGTTCTTACAGTGTTAGGAATTGATTTACATTTTACAACCGTAGTATGATTCTGTTGACTTAAAACCGAGCAAAGTTAAATTGGTTCCAGTCGCTTGGCTGACGATGCTCGACACCGGAAAATAATCAAATCGCGCCTGAATTTTTTTTTTAAGCTGCATTTATGTTTGGTTTTTTTTTTTTTTTCTTTTTTTAACACACAGGTGTTGACAGCTCTTTGCCAGGAAGTCGACAATTCTCGACATTAGAATAAATTTGGCTTTTCATCAGTTTTTGAAGGGCAATTGGAACACCTATATCTTTCACCCGGCATTATTTCTTCAAGTTTCGAGTGACACTTCTATGTAG